AGGGTAGTACCAATAGTAATAGGCTCCTTGGGTGCAATCCCAAAACAACTGGAGCACCACTTGAACACCATTGGCATTGACAAATTCGCTATTAGTCAATTGCAAAAGGCGGCCTTATTAGGAACTGCTTCCATCCTGCGACGATATCCTGTAATACCATCAAACATCCACATCTGCCTATCCCAGGTCCTGGGTAAGGACTCGATAGGTAGACAAAATGCCAAATCCAGTCTGAACATCTGGCTGACTGTGCGATGATCGATAATAATAATTATGAGTAGTAGTAGTAGTAGTAGTAGTAGTAGTAGTAGTAGTAGTAGTAGTCCTTGACTTATAACAGTGACTTACTTCACAAATGTGGCCAGAAAGGTCGCCAAATGGGGCAAAACTCATTTAACAAATGTTTCACTCAGCTACGTAAATTTTGGGCTCAGTTGTGATCGTTAAGTCGAGAACTACCTGTAGTATAGTGGGATCCAGGTAGTGAGACAAAGTGGTTGAGGGAAGAGTAATTATATTTTTTGTCTCTCAAACCCTACTGTTTTGTCCCAAGGCAACTGAACATTTTTAATAAATAATTTATCAATAATTAATAATTACCATTACTAAATTAAAAAAAATAGGTAGGGAAAGTTGTAGCCATCCAAAAGCTCCGGAAAGGATTCCAATTTAATGTACTGTTAAATTCTGTCCTGCTTTTCTCCAGGAGCTCAAGGCAGTAGACAGAAGACTTCATTTTTCCAATTATTCTCCCACCCCCTCCCAACAACATCCTTATAAGGTCGCTCCCAAAGGTGCTTTTCCAAAAGGCAACTGGACTTCCCTGGATTTTTTTTTTTCCTTCTTCGAAAACGTTTCGTTTCTTCCCCGAAAAGCTTCTTCAGTTCAGCACTTCAGAACCGAAGAAGCCTCTTGGATGAGAAGCGATAATGTTTTCAAAGAAATCCCAAGGGTGCTTTTTCAAAAGGCAACAACTGGACATTGTTTTTCCTTGAAGACGTTTCGTTTCTTACCCAAGAAGCTTCTTCAGTTCTGACTTCAGTTCTGGAGCTTCTTTAGTTGAGTCGGCCCTGAAGAAGCTTCTCGGATGAGGAACGAAATGTCTTCAAGGGAAAACCAAGTCCGGTTGCTTTTTGAAAAAAAGCACCTTTGGGACAACTGTCACTTGGAGGATTGAGAATCTATCATAATTCATACTTCCCTGCCTCTCTTTCTCTCGCTTCCCAACTCCATTCTCTCTTTTCCCTGGCTTCTGCCATACTTCTAGAGGGGAGGGGGGACGGAGCACACGCGTTTTTTGCCTTAGCTTCCTTTTTCCGCTATAATGTAGCACTTTGCTTCCCTGCCTTCTTTCCTTCTCGCTACAATGCAACACTTCGCTTTAGCTTCCTTTATTGCTACAATGTAACACTTTGCATTCCTGCACTGGGTCTCTCTCTCTCTGAACTTTCATTTCCCTAACCCAGGGGTAGGCCACCTTGGCTCTTCTATGACTCGTGGACTTCAACTCCCAGAATTCCAGAGCCAGCCTGGCTCAGCATGGAAACCTCTCCCTTTCCCTTCAGTGTGGCTGGCTCAGGAATTCTGGGAGTTGAAGTCCACGAGTCATAAAAGAGCCAAGGTGGCCTACCCCTGGCCTAAGTCCTCCTGTTCTAAGCGGTGAGCCTCCTAGGCCAGGGGTAGGCAATCTTGGCTCTTTTATGACTCGTGGACTTCAACTCCCAGAATTCCTGAGCCAGCATGGCTCAGCTTGGAAACCTCTCCCTTTCCCCTCAGTGTGGCTGGCTCAGGAATTCTGGGAGTTGAAGTCCACCAGTCATAAAAGAGCCAAGGTTGCCTACCCCTGCCCTAACCTGTCATCTAGGAAAGTGGGGGAGGAAGAATTACAACCTCCGGAGCCTGGCTTATTTCTCCGCTCAAGAAGAGCCATTTAAACATCTCTTCTACGACCAGAGCCTGACCGATGTTATCTCCCCTTTCCCAGGATGGAGTTAACACCTGGGGATTGGCCGGTGTGAACCGTCCAGATGAACTATAGGGTGGGGTTTGCCTGGGGATACTTTAAATTATCAGTCTGTAAAGAAATCCCTCGGATCCTGTCTAGTATGCCTGCCATCAGCTTCTCCTAATAAAAGTTCCTTTTGGAAGAGCTTGCTTCCATGAGTTCTGCTTTCTTGGGATGAGGTGTTGAGGTGGGTCCTGACATATTCTCCTACTGTTTTGTGATTCTAGGTTTCTCCACAAGTTGTACGCACAAGCTGAAAGGGTCCAGAGGTGCCTCGGAGAAAAAAACACACTGGGAAAAAGTAAGGAGGAATGGATGCACAAGCTGCAACTGAAGAAATACTTCCGCAGCTTCGGGAATTTCCTTGAAGAGAAGGGACTTGATAAGTGCACGCAGGAGTTTGCGAGACATGAAATGCAGGTGGATTTCATGTATGTGGACAGACTGACTGAGAGAATGAAGATCTAAAGCGCATTTTTTAATCTATTTATTTTATTTATGTATTTATTTATTTCAGCCCTGCCTTTATTAAATTATTTTTACAAATGGTACAAATGTTGAATTGAATATTGCCTTCCATGAAAGATTAAATTAGACTGACTTTAAAGTGGAACCACAAAAAAAGCGTTAAGGTTTGATTTTGAACCAAGCTGCATCCCCTGGACTTTCAACAGTTTTTAACATGTTCTAACCTTGATTTATTTATTCTGCGGGGCGATGTTTTGTAATAAAAGTTTTTTTTTAAAAAAAGAAACAACAGCTAGTCCTTGGCCTTACAAAGTTCATTTTGTGACCGTTCGAACTTACCACAGCGCTGAAAAAGGTGACCTAGGATCGTTTGTCACGCTTAGGACCATGGCAGCATCATGTGACTTACATTCGGATGCTTTACAACTGTCTCAAATTTATGACAGTTGCATTGTCCTGGGGTCATGTGACCCCTTTTGGGACCTTATGACAAGCAAAGTCAATGGGGAAGTCTGATTTACTTAACAACTGTGTTGGTCACTTAACAACTGCAATGAGTCTCTTAACAACTGTGGTAAGAAAGGTCCTAAACTGGGGCAAAACTCAACTTAGCAAATGTCTCACTTAACAACATGAATCTTGGGCTCAATTGCGGTCGTACGTTGAGGACTACCTGTAAATAGGACTCCAGGCAGGTTTTATTCCAACAGTTTGTCTCTTCACTTTGCCTTTGGTAAAATGGCCTTTGGAGCAGAGAATGGGGTTCAATGCTTACTTTTTAGTTTGGCCCTGCATTATATTTATTTGTCTGTATCCTGCCTGTACTTTTTTTTACAAATAACTCAAGGCAGCGAACAAATCCAACACAACATCTTGTTCCTATTTCTCCCCCCAACAACAACCCTATGAGGTGAGCTGGACTGAAAGAGAATGACTGGCCCAAAGATACCTAGCTGGCTTTCACACCTAAAGCGGGACTAGAACTCACTGTCTCCTGGTGATTGGCCGAAAGTCACTCAGCCGGCTTTCATGTCTAAGGCAGGACTAGAACTCACCGTCTCCTGGTGATTGGCCGAAAGTCACCCAGCCGGCTTTCATGCCTGAGGCACAACTGGAACTCACTGTCTCCTAGTGATTGGCCCATAGTCACCCAGTTAACTCTCATAGCTGAGGCAGGACTAGAACTCACTGACTCCCATTTTCTAGCCTAGTGACTCAACCACTAGACCAAACTGGCTCTCTTTAGTTTCTCAATAACATTATTTTGGCACAGCAATCCAGGTAGCTCTCTAGCTACGACGGGTTGCTTAATGATTGTTCGAAGTTACGACTGACCCAAAAAGGGGACCTGCAACCCGGTTCTGAGGATCGGCCCCCTCCAGGAAAATGTAGGGGTAAGAACAAAGTGCCAGTTTGCGCCTTTTACAGGCAGCCCTTGACTTATGGCTCTTTGAAACTTGCCACGGTACTAACAAAGGTGATTTATCACTTAATGACTATTAATACAACCCTGTCCTCCCTTTCTAAGAGGTCAGTTAGGTCTCCTGAGGTCCACCCCTCCAATTCTGGTTCTTTTCACTTTCAACAAAAGAGCAGGCTTGTCTTTGCTTATTCATTTACCTTATAAATTATATGGTAAACCAATACAAAATTGCATAGAACAGACACAGGAGACCCTTCAGAGACACAAAAACCACAAGAGCCTCCCTTGATAGGTCAATGGAATACAATGCTGGAGATAACCTTGTTACACTACAATGAATCTTCCTGGTACCATGCAGGAAAAAAAAAAAACCCTGGAGGCTAAAACATATGAAGAACGGTTGGAAGATTTGGGTATGGCTAGTTTAACAAAAAGAAGGACTAGGGGTGGTGTGATAGCAAGCTTCCAATGTTTGTGGGGGGTCACAAAGAAGAGGGGGTCAAATTATTCTCCAAAGTACCTAAAGAAGGCAGGACAAGAAGCAACAGATGAAAACTAATCAAGGCGAGAAGCAACCTGGAATTAAGGAGATACTTCTTAACAGTGAGAACAATTAACCAGTGGAACAGCCTGCCTCAAGAAGTTGTGGGTGCTCCAACAATGGAGGTTTCTAAGACAAGAATGGACAACTCTTTGTCTGAAATGGTATAGGGTCTCCTGCCTGAGCAGGAGGTTGGACTAGAAGACCTCCAAAGCCCCTTCCAACTCTTTGTTATTCTGTTATAAACAAGGCAGAAAAACTCTTCTTATGCAAAAGCTGGAACCCCAATAAGTGCACCTGGCTGAAACAACTGTGAGAATGCCACCATGTGACACATCAGCTTTCCTTTATCTAGCCTTTTGGTGAGAAGGAAAAACTGATACATGAAGGTCAAGATGCAGCTTCTATTGAAAACTATAAGAACTGCAAAGGCTGGAAAGTTACCCTGGTTTTTGCAATTAAAAAGACACAGGAATGCTCCATCTTAGATGCCACTTTGCATGTACATATACATTTAAGACTCCGTAAAAACGAGAAAAACATCACTGGAAAATGTTACTTACCACAGGCAGCCTGGATTGGAGCATCTGAAGATCATCATAACCATAAATCTGTTTAAAGACAAGAAAAGCACACATCACAAAATCTAATGTTCAGAATACACGTCTTATCTATTGGAATATATTCTGTTTCTCACCATCTTACATCAACTAATTAATAATACAGTATAACATTCTTATTTTCTGTTAATTTCCAAATATCTTAAATTTAGTAACCAAAATTTCTCTTATTTCAACATTTAATACTTCCTCTCTTTTTCTCTTGATGTCTACTATCTCATATTTAAGCGAATAGTTTTTATTATAACAGCTAGGTAAAACATATTCATTACATTCATCAATAGATTTTTAGCTTATATACATCTTAATTACTTTTACATTAAACCTTATAAGCAAATCAATATTCAAATTAAACTGTTAATATTTATACTTCCAAGTTTTAAATGACCGTTTTCTTTATCTCAGCTCATAAAATCTAGTAGTCAGAATACACATCTTATCTATTTGAATATGTTCTATTTTAGTTCTCACTGATAAGTCAGAACCCCAATTTTCTTCAGTCTTATTCTAGCTTTCTTTCTTTGCCAACTCGTCTTCCATCTCCGTGCTTTTAAGTCATAAAATACATCTCCCTGTGCTGTTATATATATTGTTTGAAGTAGAAAATCTACGCTCCATTTTTTATTGCAAAGCAATACATCTTCTTGTGCCGAAATAACATGACACTTACTTAGCACTTTTATAAATCTGAGTGCGCAAAGAACTTCATATGCATTATTTTCTTGCAGCCTTTATATTAGGGAAAACCAGTGTTTCTATATTCCTGTTGCAAATCAAGGACTGATGGAAGAAAATAGTTCTAGTTCAACTATGGTGGTTGGTGCTCTCTGAGCTTGTCTGTCTGCTTGCAGACGTTTCATTACCCAGTTAGGGAACAACCACACTCCCTGCTAGCACTGATCTGTTACTTAGTTGGATAATGAAACGCCTGCAAGAGAAAACAATCAAGGTCGACTTCTGGTTTGCCACAGCAGCCACCGCGATGGGCTCCAGTACAAATCTGAAAGCTTGGAAGAATAAATCTTCAGTCCCTGTGACCGATTCAAACTGGATCCTACAACATCATCCTGGTACACATATATTTTTCTACACTGACTCTACGTCAAAAGCCACGCCAAAGTAACCTTCACATATAGAGCAGACCGTGGGGTCTTGTACCTGAAATTCAGAATGGATCTCACTGAGGCTTCTTATGCAAGCCCCATAGACCAATTTGTGCTAAGATTTTTACAATCAAGTGGTCAGGAAAAGACAGGGCCCAGGCTGACCCATCTCCACCCCAAAGCCCTCTCCATAGCTGGTGGTTCAGAGGTAACGGGCAAGAGAGGCAGGCACAAGGAAATGGCTTACTGGGTAGGCAGGCAGAAGTCCTCCAGGTCCCACAAAATACTGGTTATGTAACAAGGGTGGTACACCTTGGGGCAGGTTGGGGGGCGCTTTGCCTGTGAATCAAAAGAAACACCTTTAAAAAAAACACACCCTTGGCAGATGGGAGAAGAAGAGGCAGACGGCATCAAACTGTCACATCCTGGTTTCGAAAAAGCTTAGAGTTATGTCTGATCACAGCAGGCAAAGATGCAATGAAGAAGAGGTTGAAGTAAGGAAGAAGAGACCAGTGGATCACTTTGTTCTCAGACCCCTGTCCGACTCGATCCTCCCTTCACTGCTGCCTTCTGTTTTGCTCTTTCCTTTGATCAGAAGTCTTCTCGGATCCACCGCTGACAGTGTAAGAGCAACTGAGAAGCTGCATTCTTCACTAAACAACCGTTGGGGGGGAATCTCATTGGTTACATGCTGGGAGATCTTTTTTCGACCATTACATAAAGCATGCTACAAGTAGTCCTCCACTTATGGCCACAATTGAGCCCAAAATTTCCATCACTAAATAAGACAGTGACAGTGAGCTTTGTCCCATTTTACGACCTTTCTTGCTGGAGTTCTTAAGCAGATCACTGCAGTTCATAAGTTAATCGTACGGTCGTTAAGTGAATCTGGCTTCCCCATTGACTTTGATTGTCAGATGGTTGCAAAAAGGGATTATATGACCCCAGGACGCTGCCGCCGCCCTAGGTATGAGTCAGCATCTGAATTTTGGTCACGTGAACACGGTGATGCTGCAATGGTCGTAAGTGTGAAAAAATGGCCATAGGTCACTTTTTTCAGCACTGTTGTAACTTCAAACCAAATGAATGTTTGTAAATCGAGGACTGCCTCTGCTTTCAACCTCATCATAGAAAATTACTTCCACCATCCATTATGGAGGCTTTTGTTGCTAAATTTATAACTAATGATAATGGAATTGGATTATGCACTGTGAAATTTGTTTATTTTATTCCATTTGTGCACACTCTGGATGGCTCACAAGAGAACGTGAGAATTAAAAAGAACAGAACAAAATGGCAATTAAAGGAGCAGCAAAGCTGGCAAAACAGAGCTGTGACAGACACACACCTGGTCCCAAAAAAAGGCTACACCCTTCCTACTTAACAGAATAACAGAGTTGGAAGGAACCTTGGAGGTCTTCTAGTCCAACCCCCTGCTCGGGCAGAACATGCTATACCATTGCAGACGAGTGGCTGTCCGATCTCTTCTTGAAAACTTCCAGTGTTGAAACATCCACAACTTCTGCAGGCCGGCTGCTCAAACCGATTAATTGTTCTCACTGTCAGGAAATTACTCCTTAGTTCTAAGTTGCTTCTCTCCTTGATTAGTTTCCATCCATTTTTTCTTGTTCTGCCTTCAGGTGCTTTGGAGAATAGCTTGACTCGCTCTTCTTTGTGGCAGCCCCTCAAATTTTGGAAGACTGCTATCACGTCCCCCTTCATCCTTCTCCTCATTAAACTAGACATACCCAATTCCAGCAGCCGTTCCTTCTATGCTTTAGCCTCCAGTCCCCTAATCATCTTTGTTGCTCTTCTCTGTACTCTTTCTAGAGCAGTGGTTCTCAACCTTTTTAATGCCGCGACCCCCAACCGGTCATAAGTCGAGGATTACTCAACCGGTCGTAAATCGAGGACTACTCAACTGGTGCAGCACCATTTGCAGAATGGGACTTTTGGCAGGCTCAGCGGGGCAGAGACAGCCTGGACAATTCCTATTGGCTTTTGAAAGCCAATAGAATTAGACTCTATTCAAGAAAGTCTATTCTATTGGCTTTCAAAAGCCAATAGAATAAAAGGGAGTAGCACAGCTAAGGAAAAGGGGGGGGAAATGGCGGACTGCGTTGTTTGGCGACCCCCGTGAAATGGTCATTCGACCCCAAATGGAGTCCCGACCCACAGGTTGAGAACCACTGTTCTAGAGTCTCAACATCTTTTTTACATCGTGGTGACCAAAACTGGATGTAGTATTCCAAGTGTGGCCTTAACCAAGGCCTTGTAAAGTGGTATTAACACTTCACGTGATCTTGATTCTGTCCCTCTGTTCATACAGCCTAGGATTGCATTGGCTTTCTTAGCAGCTGCAGCACAGGCTGGCTCATATTTAAGTTAATTGTCCACTAGGACTCCAAGATCCCTCTCAAAGTTAGTTAAAGGCCAGGAGACAGGCACTATTACAGAGAAGATGTGCTTCCTTAATTCCAAGAGGTGGACATTGTTTAATTGGAGGAACTTGGGAAGCAGGCTGACATGATAGCAGCAGAGAAGAGTAACAAAGATGATCTGGGGACTGGAGGCTAAAACATATAAAGAATGGTTGCAGGAATTGGGTATATCTAGTTTAATGAAAGGAAGGACTAGGGGTGACAGGATAGCAGTCTTCCAATATCTGAGGGACTGACAGAAAGAAGAGGGAGTGAAGCTATTCTCCAAAGCACCAGAAGGCAGGACAAGAAGCAACGGATGGAAACTAATCAAGGAGAGAAGCAACCTGGAACTAAAGAGAAATTTCCTGACAATGAAAACAATCAGTGGAATAACTTGCCTCCAGAAGTTGTAAATGCTCCAACTCTGGAAGTTTTTAAGAAGAGAGTGGACAGTCATTTGTCTGAAAAGGTATAGAGTCTCCCGCTTGAGAAGGGTTGGACTAGAAGACCTCCAAAGACCCTTCCAACTCTGTTACTGTTATTCTAAAGCAGCTGGGCAGATAGAGGGTTCCTCAAGAACCTATCCTTGTAAGGATTTATAGATAAAACTCTTTGAATCACACTTGGAAGAGAACTTGCAAGAATTCGCATTCTCATCCTTTCTTGTCTCATTGCACGCTAAACCAGTTGAAGCTTCTGGGTGGTTTTCCAGGGCAAACCCCATATAAAGTGCATTATAGTAGTCAAGCCCTGAGGTGACCGGGATATATTGTCAGAAAGACTTCCCAATTAAGGGAGGAGTACAACTGGCACATCAGATAAAGCTGTGCAAAGTCTTTCTTGGCCACAGCTGCCACCTGCTCAGGCAACAGCTGCAAATCCAGGAAGAACCCCACACTGTGCACCATTCATGAATGAAGAACCTTACAGGTAGTCCTCAAGTTACGACCACAATTGAGCCCAACACTTCTGTTGCTAAGTGAGAGAGAGCTGTTATGTGACTTTTGCCCTATTTCTTGCCACAGTTGTTAAGACAACCACTGCAACTGTTAAGTTAGTAACACGGTTGTTAAGTGAATCTGGCTTCCCCCATTGACTTTGCTTGTCAGAAGGTCCCCAAAAGGGACACTGCAGCCGTCATAAAGAGGAGTCCGCTGCCAAGCATCTGAATTTGGATCATGTGACCATAGGGAGGCTGCAAGAGTTCTAGGTGTGAAAAATAGCCCTAAGTCACATTTTCAGTGCTGTTGTAACTTTGAATGTTCACTAAATGAATGGTTGTTAAGTTGAGGACTACCTGTATTCCATCCAAGGTCAGAGATAGAATGTCCCCAGTCCTGGTTGCCCCAAACATCCAAAACCATTTGGTAGGTTTGAGTTGGAGATAGTTCCCCCCATTACAAAACTAGCAGAGTCTCCAAGCAGTGGGACCGAAACGTGACAGCTTCACCTAACTGGCCCGGAGGTCAAAATATATAATTAGATACCGAACCCCAAATAAGTGGATGACTTCACCCAATGGTTTCATGTCTGTGATGATTCTCAATCCTCCGGGTCATGGTTGTTTCAAAGGTGCTTTTTTTTCCCAAAAGGCAACTATACTTTCTTGGGTTTTTGTTCTTTGAAAACATTTCACTTCTCATCCAAGAAGCTTCTTCAGTTCTTGGATGAACTGTAGAAGCTTCTTGGATGAGAGGCAAAATGTTTTCAAAGAACAAAAACCAGGGAAGTCCAGTTGCCTTTTGGAAAAAAAGCACTTTTGGGCCAAAGATTTCACGTACATATTGAATAAGAAGGGGGGGGGGAGAGCAGATCCCTATACAATAGTGGCCAACATTATGGAAACCTTTTGGGAAAAGTGTACAGTAGAAATGCCACCTTTATTTAAGTTTCCACCCATTTTTCTTCTAATTTCTTTATAACTGTAGCCTTATTCGCTTTATAACACTATTTTACATCGCTTTCTGGGCGGGCAGTCAACTCTTTGCACCATTGCTTTAATTTTATTACGTTTTACAAGCTCACTAAATGAAAGAACACAAAAAACCCCCAACCAACTTCATAGCGATCACATAACACACTGACAAATGTCCTCTTCTCAGCTTCAATACATGACATCAATAACTGACTCCTACTGTGATCTCATTGACTCATTGCCAAAACAAGATGACACCTGATTGGCTCTCTAAACACTCGTGCTCATGGGCTATAAACAGATGAAGGAAAGCTACCTGATATCAACCTAAGCAAGTTGTGTTTCTTTTTCTGGTTATTTGGCTCTAACGTTTCATAGAATACAGTACAGATAATTGAACAAACTTTGTTGCATTACATTCTTGATTATCTTTCCATTGATATATAATTTTATGGTACTACTCCCCCCCAAAAAAGTGGTGTTATTAGCCATCAAACCTCAAAAATACACCTTTCCCAAAAGGTTTCCACAATTTTGGTCACTACTGTAGCACCCCACAGAGGAGCCTAGGGCAGTGATGGCGAACCTTTTAGACACCGAGTGCCCAAACCCTACCCCACCCCCCACTCTGCCCCAGCCCCACCCCATCCACTCTACTCCCACCCCGGCTGCCCGCAGGACCACCTACCATCTCCGTGGCCCGCCCCAGATTGCCCAGGTGGCCCTGCAGCGCCATGGTGGCCACACATTCCATCTGCGCCCTGCAGCAGCATCTGCATGCGACGGGGCACAAGGGTGGAGTCTATTGCCTGGATGACATGTCCTTGGCTGCGCTGCTCTGCGTGGGCCACACCCAGGGGTAACTCTCCTCTGGGGGGGGGCTGCTGGTGAAGAGGGGGCCAAAGGGGGAGGCGGGGCTGGGCAACGGTGCGCATGCCCCCAGAGAGGTCTCTGAGTGCCGCCTCTGGCACGCGTGCCATAGGTTCACCACCACTAGCCTAGGGAACAATCTCTCCATCACCCCCCCCCCCGCCCCCATCACTGACTGAATGCAGAGCCATCTCCAGTCCCAGCTCAGGGTATTATAATCACTCATATCAAATGCAACTGAGAAGTCAAGGAAGAGAAAGACAGGCACCCGCCTTTCCCAGCTCTGCCAAGGTCATTAACAAGCATGACCGAGGCTGTGTTGAGGGAACCTGAAATGGGATTGAAACAGAATTAAAATGTGTCTTAAGAGAAAACCCAAAGTAGAAAACCTCCTTGAAATTTAGACAGTTGAGAATACAAGGAATCCTCGACTTACGACCACAGGTGAGCCCAAACTTTCTGTCGCTAGGTGAGACAGCAAGTGAGTTTTGCCCCATTTTACAACCTTGCTTGCCACAGCTGTTAAGGGAATCAGTGCAGTTGTTAAATTAGTGACACGGTTGTTAAGCAGATCGGGCTTCCCTGTTGACTCTGGTTGTTAGGAAGTCACCAAAGGGGATCGCGTGGCCCCTGGGACGCTGCAACCGTTGTAAATAGGAGTCAGTTGACAAGCACCTGAATTTTGATCACGTGCCCCTGGGGACGCGGCAACGGTTGTAAGTATGAAAAACGGCCCTAAGTCATTTTTTTCCGGTGCCGTTGTATCTTTGAACTGTCAACTAAACGAATGGTTGTAAGTGAAGGACTGCCTGTACTGTATTAACTAAGCACGGTCAAAATCAAGTAGAGGCAGAAGGATTTTGCTGAAAAGCAAGTCCACCCTGTGAAAAGTGAAAAAAAAAAAAAACAGCAATTATTTCTGCAAAAGGCTGCCAGAACTTCCTATGCAAGGTAAAAAAATTTTTTTGCAAACCACCTTCTCTGCTTTGGATGACAGAGTTTATGCTGAAAAACCTCAAAACGACAACTTTCGTCAATCTTTGGGACAAACATCCCAAATCTCGGAATCTGAATTCAGTACTTCCTATCCAAGCAGGAAGCAACATCTTCTGAAAGAAATTGTGTACCGGAGGTTCTATCACCAATAACTTCTCTATTTCCATGATTAATTTTTCGAATAAATGGAAATAGTCTGGCACAGCGGTTCTCAACCTGTGGGTCGGGACCCCATTTGGGGTCGAACGACCGTTTCACGGGGGTCGCCAAACAACACAGTCCGCCATTTTTTCCCCCTTTTCCTTAGCTGTGCTACTCCCTTTTATTCTATTGGCTTTTGAAAGCGAATAGAATAAACTCTCTTGAATAGAGTCTAATTCTATTGGCTTTCCAAAGCCAATAGGAATTGTCCAGGCTGTCTCTGCCCTGCTGAGCCCGCCAAAAGTCCCATTCTGCAAACGGTGCTGCACCAGTTGAGTAGTCCTCGACTTACGACCGGTTGAGTAGTCCTCGACTTACGACCGGTGGGGGTCACGGCATTAAAAAGGTTGAGAACCACTGGTCTAGCACATGGGTAGGCAACCTGGGCTCTTTTATGACTCGTGGACTTCAACTCCCAGAATTCCTGAGCCAGCCATGCTGTGGGGAAAGGGAGAGGTTTCCAAGCTCAGCCCTGCTGGCTCAAGAATTCTGGGAGTTGAAGTCCATGAGTCATAAAAGAGCCCAGGTTGCCTACCCCTGGTCTACCAACAGAAGGGGGGATAATATGCATTCCATTCTGCTTTCTCACGTTTCTGAGGTTAGGCTTCTCATTGGTGCTTGTGGCTACTTAACCCTTACATGTAGGAATTTCAAAATATTTTCACACGTTAAAAAGCCAGGCAATTTTTATTTCGTAGGCCTTGTGCAAAGCATGCTTTTAAAAAAAGCCAGTCTTTTAGAAAAGGCATTCTTTCCCCCCCGCCCCCCCCCAAACGCTCAAGGTGTCTCATGGGCAGACCTGCAGGCTCAAATCCTCTCTTGTTATATCCATGCAACCTGTTAGGATTGCGAACCTGAAGACACTAAAGGAGCTGCCCGGCTGGTGGGAATTGGCAGAGAGACGCTGGTCGCAGTCAGGCCGAGGCTGTTGGTGGTGCTGGCCATGCTGGTGGCCGAAGAGGTGGTGGACATGGTTGCGGCAACCGAAAAAGAGTTGGAGGGCTGGAGTGCGGTGGCATTATCAACGCTGTTGTGCTGGAAAGGAAAAAAAAAAAAAAAAAGCAGAGGCATGAGGTTAAAACCGGAACAAAGGAGACTGCAGCAAAGGAAGCTTGTGAGCTTCATCAACAAATGACACAAGGGGGGGGGATCCTTGATATTCTCTGAGCTTGGTTGTTTTTTTGCAGACATTTCACAACCCAACTAGGTAACATCATCAAAAGATCGCAAAAGGGGATCACACGACCCCGGGACACTGCAACCGTCATGCCAGTTGCCAAGCATCCGAATTTTATGTGACGGTGGGTGTGCTGGACCAGTATGTAACCATATTGCCGGAGCATATATTTGAGAATTATTCCGTTCTTTGGAGTTTATATGTCTGAGAAGAGCAGGATTAAAGCAGATTATTTATTCCCCAGGAATCTCAAACAATAACTTACAGCCAAGAAGACTTCTTCTGATGAACATATCATAACCTTCTCCGTTCTTCTGGGGGAAGAATTAATGGCAGACTCACCCCATGGCTCTTTTTTTTTTATTATTGAGAATTTTTAAAAGTTTTTACAAATAACAAAAAAAAAACAATAACAAACAAAAAAAAACCAAAACCACCCTCACCCAACCCCTCCCAAACCACCCCCTCCATCCTCCCCCCCCCCGAGCTTCCCAGAGCTGAATATAGGCTTAATTAAAATTTTAAGAAACCTAAACAAATTTTAACAACTTATAAAATAGTTAATAATAAAATATATATGACATAAACATTAAAAAAAATACTTAAAAAGGAAAAAAAAAGAAGAAAGAAAGAAAGAAAGAAGAAAAGAAATAGGAAAAAGAAAAAAAAAAAGGAAAAAAGAGAAAACAATACCCCATGGCTCTTATGGGACACATCACCTCGTGTCTGTCTTCACAATGGCTTCTACATACACAAAGCCAGGAAGTACTGCAATAAACTTTGAAACCTCCCACTGACTTGATAAACTATATTACTCATAAGCCATCTCTTAAGAAGACAGCATTTAACCCTTTAAATGCTAAACATAACAACACAGTTCTCAAATATATGCTCTGGCAATATGGTTACATACTGGTCCAGCACAGTGGAGATACTGCAAATGTCGTTAAGTATGAAAAACAGTCCTAAGTCACTTTTTTAGTGTTGTTGTAACTTTGGACGGTCACTAAATGAACTATTGTAAGTTGAGGATGACCCATAGCTGTTTTTTCCATACAAGCATGTGAGGACTACCTACTCTCCAAGACTTACTCTTAACTTGTTCATATCTCAAGCTTCGCAGATATTATAAGCAAACTAATGGGAGATAAGACCAAAGTCTCTCCCAAATCATTGGAATGCTAAGCTGCTGTGCTAACCTAAACTTGACAATATTTTAGTACTATTTTTGCACATTTTAAAATAACACAATAGAACTATGTTTTAGTAACAAGAGGCTTTACCCTAAAGCAGAGGGGTCCAACCTTGGCAACTTTAGGACTTTAGGACAAAATTCCTCAGCCAGCATGGGCGGTAGAAGCCCACAGATCTTAAAAGTTGTCAAAGTTGAATACCTGTGCCTAAAAGACGCTGCAAAGACATACATTTTCTGTGAAATTAAACAGGATAAAGGTAGTCCTCGGCTTATGCCCACAATTGAGCCCAAAATTTCTGTTGCTAAGTGAAACATTTGTTAAGTGAATTTTGCCCCATTTTATAATCTTTCTTGTCACAATTGTTAAATGAATCATTGCCATTGTCAAGTTAGTCATACGGTTGTTAAGTGAATCTGTCTTCCCCATTGACTTAATAATAATAATAATAATAATAATAATAATAATAATAAAGTTGGAAGGGACCTTGGAGGTCATCTAGTCCAACCCTCTGCACAGGCAGGAAACCCTATACCATTTCAGACAGATGGCTGTCCAGTCTCTTCTTAAAAACTTCCAGTGTTGGAGCATTCACCGCTTCTGGAGGCAGGTTGTTCCACTGATTAATTGTTCTAACTGTCAGGAAGTTTCTCCTTAGTTCTTGGTTGCTTCTCTCCTTGATTAGTTTCCATCCGTTGCTTCTTGTTCTGCCTTCAGGCGCTTTGGAGAATAGCTTGACTCCCTCTTCTTTGTGGCAACCCCTGAGATATTGGAACACTGCTATCATGTCCCTCTTCGTCCTTCTCTTCATTAAACCCGACATACCCAATTCCAGCAACCATTCCTTATGTATTTTAGCCTCCAGTCCCCTAATCATCTTTGTTGCTCTTCTCTGTACTCTTTCTAGAGTCTCAACATCTTTTTTACATCGTGGTGACCAAAACTGGATGCAGTATTCCAAGTGTAGCCTTACCAAGGCATTGTAAAGTGGTATTAATACTTTGCATGTTACAAAGTTGCAAAAGGGGATCACATGACCCCGGTACACTGCAACCATCATGAATATGAGTCAGTTGTCATGCATCCGAATGTAAACCATGTGACCATGGGGATGCTGCAACGGTCGTAAGCGTGAGAAATGGTCATGTCCCTTTTTTCAGTGCCGTTCTAATTTTGAACAGTCACTAAACGGAACTGTTATAAGTCAACGACTACCTTTGACTTATCAAGAGGACTCACCGTATGTGATGAGGCAGAAGATAGGCTGCTTGGATGATCTGAGAGAGAACTGAACAGAAACCAAAAAACAACCAGTTATTTTATATTCAGTCAATCCTTATCTAAGCCTCTCATAAAACATTCCAGTCTCTGGTCTCCCTCAAAGTCAACAATCCTACAGAGAGTGTTAATTCAAGAGGTTGAGAAGAAACCATTAAGAAAACCAAAGATTTATGGGTTCAGTATTGCTGGTCCCAGACCTCCAAAGAATGAATGAATGAAGTTATTTTATACCCCACCTTTTATTTTTAACATTATTATTATTATTATGATCGTCATCATCTCAAGGTGTTGATCATATTGTCTTCCACCAGCTATTTTCCTCACAACAACAATCCTGCAAAGTGGATTCAGCCAAGAGCAAATAACTGGCTCAAAGTCATGCAGTCAGGTTTCATGACTTATGTAGGACTATAACTCACAGCCTCCTGGTGATTGGCCCAAAGACACTCAGCTGGCCTTCATACGTAAGTTGAGAGTAGAACTCACCATCTCCTCAGGGATTGGCCCAAAGTCACCCAGCTGGCTTTCACGCCTAAGGCGGGCCTAGAACTCGCCATCTCCTCAGGGATTGAGCCAGTCACCCAGCCAGCTTTCATGACTAAGGTGGGACTAGAACTCACTGTCTTCTGGTGATTGGGCCAAAGTCATCCAGATGGCTTTTATTGCTAAGACAGGAATAGAAGTCATTGTCTCTTGATAACTGGCCCCAAAGTTCCTCAGCTGGCTTTCATGTCTAAGGCAGGACTAGAACTTACAGTCTCCTAGTGACTGGCCTGAAGTCATCCAACTGCTTTAGTTGTCAGAATTTCCCTAGCCAAATGGCACTTCCAGTTACTGGGGATTCTGGGTGCCCCTAGGCTGAAGAAGCTGCTAAGATCATCTTCTTCCTTGTTCTTCTCACCAGGGCCAGCCCAGCCCAAAAAAGAAGGCAATTCTGATTCATTCCTCATCCTGAGTCTTAGCAGGATGGAACACTTAACAATGAAATAAGCTAACTTATCAAGATCTTCATGACACTCTCTGCTCCATAGCTAATGATGTGATGGAATGTGGCCTGGATTCTCGGAAGGAGGAGCAAGAGACAATGCAGTTTAGATAATTTTTGTGAGAGAAAGAAGCTAAAGATGGCTCTTCCCTAATTTCCCAGACTATTTGCCTTATGGGGGGTGCAGCATGCTTTAGTTTGGCAAGATGCTGTCTACAGGTGAGGAACAATAACCACAATGTGTAGTTCTAGGAATAAGCACACTGTGTAGTTCTTGGTTTTTGAGAGCTCCTTCCTTCCTTCCTTCCTTCCTTCCTTCCTTCCTTCCTTCCTTCTTTCCTTCCTTCCTTCCTTCCTTCCTTCCCCTTCCCTTTCCTTCCCTTTCTTCAGATCTCCAGAAACGAGAGACTGCATTCCAGAGCACCAAGAGACAATGCAGTTTATGTGAGAGAAAGAGGTTGAAGACGGCTCTCGCTAATACTTCTCAAGGTATATGTACTAGATGCTTTAATTTGGCAAGATTCTGTCTACAGCTGAGGAACAATAAAGGAATCTGCTAGGAATAATCACAACGTGTATTTCTTAGGTTTTTGAAGCCCGACGACTGCTCACAAAACCTCCCCCCCCACCCCCAATCTTCTACCGTACCTGCTTAACTGAGAGAGGGAGTTGTTGGCCAAGTCACTTGATGGAAGTGCTGCCGTGTGAGAAGGTGCTGAAGGCAGAAGCAAAGAGGTGGATGCCGTGGTGCTCGGCAACGAAGGACCTTTGGCGGGTAGTGATGGAGGAGAGGTTTCCAGCTTTGACGTGGGAACGGTCGAAGTAGCTGCAAAGTTGGGAAATGGTATTCAGAGAAGGGCTGAAGCTGCCCCAACAGGACCATGGAGTGAATTTTGTTTGGGCAGCAGAAACAGGTGGGGAAAGAAAAATAGAAATATATCCAATAATTTTTGCCAATAAGAACTTTTTTTTTTTTTTTAAGAAGATGTGTTTCTGCTATAGGATTCCATCTCATACCCTGAAAAAGTCAGCTTCAGGCAGTCTTCACAATGAGCTTTTAATATTTTTAAAGTAATGCAACTAGGTGTTGAGGAAAAAATAAGTAAATGGATACATGGAACTGTAATGTATTGAGGAGTGGGGAGGGATTTGGGCAGCAAATCAGCCCACTTGTTTGGCAATACAAGGAAAAAAACACAGGGATGGATGACATGCAGAAGCCATTAAAAACTTTTAAGTGCAGAGAGCTAAGATTTCATCTACTTACTGTCAAGAGCTGGCTGCATTCGAACACCGTTGTGTCCATTCTGAAAGTCAAAGAAAGGAATTAGCGGCATTTTTAACCCAGAACTAAAGCAAAAAATACAAATACATCCTCATATGTTCAATGTTAATTCCCTTCCAAAAGTTTAATTACCATTTTAGCTAATGTACAGGTCCTCGATTTATAACTGGTCACTTAGCAACCATTCAATGTTACAATGCACTGATGGGAGGGAATTATGACCTGGGTTTGAAGTTCTGATGGTCAGGGTGACCCCCCCCCTCCCCATGGTCACATGACCACATTTCAGGTGCTCAGCAACCGGGCATTTCCTACATCTTACAATCATGTAATGGTGTTTTATGATGGTTGAGCTGGAAAGCAGCCATTTATTTCTGTCTTTTTAGCAAAACCGTCCCTTAGTGAATATGGAGTGACTTAATGACTGCAGTATTTGCTTAACCATCATTGCAAAACAAGCTTTAACAACCCTCTTGACAACCATCACAATTTACGATCGTACTGGGAGGCTCCACTGTGGTCATTAACTTGAGGATCTGCTTGACAACTGTCACAATTTACTAGTGTAAATGACAACCAGCTTGACAACAGTTTACGACTGCAATGGGCAGGCCCCATTACGGTGGTAACTCAAGGACCACCATTAAAAATTAATCGCCAGGGTATAAAATATGGAGATTTTCTCCTATTCTCCAGAGTTTTAAAACTTGATTGACGCGCAAGATGGGGAGATCCGATTTGATCCATTACAAACAAAATACCTTAACAACACAGAAAACAATTGTGGGCATGAAGGTGGCTGCCAATTTAGATTCAGGAAAGGATTATCCGTAGCTCTTTCTCCCCAAATCTGAGAACTAATTACACAATTAAAGGTCAAGAACCTAAATACCAACTGCTAAGAATTACGGTGGGAAAAGCCCTAAATTCCTGCCTTGCCTGTCAAGTTTCTCCTCGGCATGTGGAAAAACAAAATAAATCAAAATAGATTTGATAGATTAAGTGCCATTAAGGCAGAATTGACTCTAAATCAGTGGTTCTCAACCTTTTTAATGCCGCGACCCCCAATTGGTCGTAAGTCAAGGACTAAACCGGTCATAAGTCGAGGACTAAACCGGTTATAAGTCAAGGACTACCCAAGCGGTGATAAGTCGAGGACTTTGCCTGCCCGGGAGCGCTGCGCATGCGAGGTGCCGCCCCCCTCTGCCGGCCGAGGTGTAGCTGGCAAGCAGCAGAGACGGAGCAGGCCGACCACCGGCTGGGCCACCAGCTGGCCCAGCCCAAGGGAGGTAAGGCATCCGCCGGAAAAGGGGAAAAAAATGGCGGACAGCCTTGCTTGGCGACCCCCGTGAAATGGTTGATCGACCCCAAATGGGGTCACGACCCATAGGTTGAGAACCGCTGCTTTAAATGATTGCATGGATAGATTCTGCCTGAACATATTATTATTTTGGAGGGTACAAATCAATCAAGCACTTAAATTGGGGCCTTCACTGCAGCCCAACTGTTTGTTTATTGGGCAGGAGCATTTTTGACTGCTTGGCTGCTGATAATTAATCCTAGAAGGAAAATGCATCCTCCAGCATCTTTTATTATTATCAGAGCTCTCCTGGGTGGGCTTCTGGGCTGCCACACCCTCATGAGCCAGGAAGGGAAAGAGACTGCACTCAGTGGTTTAGAACTGAGTATTTGATTGGTTAATTTGCCAAGGATGCCAAAGATGCATCATTTTTCTGCAGGTTTATTTTGAAACTCATGGTATTCATATGTAAAAGCGGCATGGTGGCCTAGTGGTGAAGACCCTCGCCTCCCACTCAGAAGGCTGAGAGTTCAATCTAGGTAGCAGCAAATGTCTCTCTCCTAAATACACACACACACACACACACACACACACACACACACACACACACGTAAGTCTTTAGTTATTCGGGTTTTCTCCTGCGTCAAATTGGAAGTGTCTTGGCGACGTTTCGACAAAGTCTCATTCGTCATCTCCAGCCTGGTGTTTTCGGCTTCGTGCTTCTAGGAGCACAAAGCCGAAAACACCAGCCTGAAGATGACAAATGAGACTTCGTCGAAACGTCGCCAAGACACTTCCAATTTGACGCAGGAGAAAACCCGAATAACTAAAGACCTACATACAAACACCTGCGAAAACCTCAGAAAACATATATAAATATAAACATAAATATATATGACTCTACCCAGGATTCATGTTTTAATGAGATTAGAAGCATATATGTATGTATGTATGTATACACACACACACACACACACACACACACATATACTAGTTAGTCTCCCACTAACTCTTTGTCAGTCACAAAACCTTTTGGGAGCTTGGCCGTTTTTGCGCTCTGCTCATGGAGCGAGTTACCGGTCTGCCCGCCTCAATTGGCCATATTGTTTCTAGCTGTCCTGCACCAGTCTGTGTGTTCTTAAACTCAGGGATCATTTCCTCCTTTATGGTTGCTCTCTTTGTCTGCCTGGTTCGTGTCCGAGTGCCTGTTGCTGTGGGTTGGTTCCCTGATGCCTCCTGTCCTATGGCCACCCCTCCTTTGGGCTGCGCCCTGTCCCCCCCTCTGCACAGGATGCACTGGGGATTCCTTCCTTTCGGCAGTTGTAGTTCTTTGTCGCATGGGCCAGCCAATCCGATCCTGCATGGCCGGCGCTCGTTGCCTTCGTCGCAAGTTGTTACGTTGCTCCTCCCACTCCCTTAATGCCTGATAAGTAGGCAGTAGATCTATGTGGCGACTGATCGAGTGTCCGTCAGATAGCCAGGCCTCCTTAAGTAGTCGGCTGCCCTTGGTGGTAGCCTCCGCAAGGTCATATGGTTGCAGCTGGCCAAATGTGCCCATAGTTGTGAACGATGGCCAGCTCATGCTCGTGAATCCTGGTCTTGTGAAGCGGTACATAAGTGCTATTGCTAACTGCTATTGCTATACTCACCATGACCGCCACCGAGACAGGTTCTGATGGAGGCACCGAACTTTGGTATGTCATCCTGTTATGCGGAGAGGCAGGGTCGTAAGAGGAGGAGGAGGAGGCCGTTACAAGGCTAGTGCTCTGGACAGAGCAGGTCAGGCTGGATGTGATGACAGGGGTGGAGTAGGCGGACTCCTGCACTGTATTGGACATTGGCAAAGAGGTATTCAAAGGTTCACTGGAAAAGTAAAAGCCATGTATTGTCTTGGTCAAGGTTTATTCAGGATTCACTAGGCAGCTCACCAGCTATGCTAAGCGGGACACCCAGCCGGGAATACAGGCAGTCCTCAACTTACAACAGTTCATTTATTGGCCATTCAAAGTTACAGCGGCATCGAAAAAAGTGACTTAGGACCACTTTTTCACACTTACAACCACTGCAGCATCCCCACGGCCACGTGATTTACATTCAGATGCTTGGAAACTGACTCGTATTTACGACGGTTGCAGTGTCCCGGGGTCATGTGATCCCCTTTTGTGACCTTGTGACATGCAAAGTCAATGGGGAAGCCAGATTCGCTAAAACAACCGTGCGACTGAGTTTGACAACTGCAGTGATTTCATTTAACAACCGTGAAAAGAAAGGTGGTAAAAATGGGGCAAATTTCACCTAGCAAATATTTCGCTTAGCAACAGAAATGTTGGGCTCAAATGTGGTCGTTAAGCTGAGGACCACCTGTACATTAACAGGGGGAAAAAGAATAATTGACAAACATTTCTACAACCTAAAGATCAAGCGGCCTTACAGGAAGTTCAAGTCCTGCCAGAGCTGAGGCAGAGTCAAGATCTCAAGGAAACTCGGCCATTTATTTATTGAATTTATATCCTGCCCTTTTCACGGATAAGGTGATTCCGGAGGGCATATAAATTTAATTAATAAATAAACGTTTAGTTGTTAACCATGTTCTTTCTCTGTGGCTATGCCATGTTCAACATCACATTCAGAACATGAAACAAAGTTACACAGAAGTGAAAATAGGTATACAGGTAGTCCTTGACTTAACGACAGTTCGTTTAATGACCGTTCAAAGTTACAAGAGCACTGAAAAAAGCAACTTTTGACCGTTTTTCGCATTTGTGAATGTTGTGGCATCCCCAGTGTCACATGATTTACATTTGGATGCATGACAACTGACTCACATTTATGACGGGTCACAGCGTCCTAGAGTCACGTGATCCTCTTTTTTTGCAACCTTCTGACAAGCAAAGTCAATGGGGATTTGCTTAGCAACCATGCGACTGACTTAACAACAGTGGCAAGAAAGGTCGTAAAATGGGGCAAAGCTCACTTAACAACAAATATTTGGGGGTCAACTGTGGTCGCAATTCAAGGACTACCTGTATTTTTTATGATGGTTCTTCCCGTGTACATTTTCCACTGGGATTGCAATGAACATGTTTATTTGGTGGATTCTCAAGGCTCGGGAGAGTTACAAGTTGTGGAACTGAAAAGGTCTCATTAGAATCAGAGGAGGATTGGTTAACTCCAGATCTATTAGCCAAGATGGTTTACCCATCATCTAGGTTAAGGGCAATGCAGAGATTAGGGACAAGGGAGGCCTTCTTCCATTCAACAACCCCTGTTTTATGAGCTTCCTAAAAACCTCTGGCTGATCATGCTGACTGCTTGGCAGACATCTGATTACCCAACTAAGTAACACCATCAGTATTAGGAAACTGTTTTCCTCTGCTGCTTTCTTCTTCCCAATCTGTCAGCTTGGGTAAGTCATGCTTGAAGCCAGCATCATCCAAGAGGAAATGGAACTGGATGTCCCCAAAACTTCTGAGGTTCTTAACCTTCCTGCTATCCTGACTTCCTAGGTAGGTCATTCCAGGAACTAAGAGGGAAGCTTCAGCCTTACGTTTCTGCTTCTCAAATCATCCGGTTTCAAATAGGCTCTGTGTCAGAGCCCAGGAGAGGTCATCCTAACACCACCACTGCTCAAATGACCTCATCTGATGAGGACACTGGTCTCTCCTTGTCACCCCCACCCCATCCTTAGACAGAAATACACTTACTTTACAGGCTGGGTGTACAGGATATTGTTGGGTGCCGGGCTGCTTTCATAGCTTGAAGCAGATCCAAACTCTGAAACTGCAGGTTCCAGCCCAAATTCAAGTGCCCCAAATTGCACGTTTAGCCCCGAAACGTCAGTCGACCCAGGCATTTCCACCGCAGAAGAAGGGATCTGAAAAAAAGTCACATAGCAGATTGTAATCAGGAATGCCAGCTGGGAAAAGGAACGTTTCTCATTTTCTGTTTAATGCATTTATCATCTGTCCTTGGAAAGGATCTGTCAGACCTGCCTCAACTTGGGTCTTCTAAATCAGGGGTCCCCCAACCCCAGGTCCATGGACCAGCAGCTTTCCCCCCTAATAAAGAACAGGGTATCTTTAAATCATTGTCCCTTTGGGCAACCTTAGGGACACTCAGATAATCCAGTAAAATGGGATAGATAACCGAGGTGGCGCAGCAGTTAGAGTGCAGTACTGCAGGCCACTTTAGCTGACTGTGTTCAGCAGGTCAGCGGTTCAAATCTCACCAGCTCAAGGTTGACTCAGCCTTCCATCCTTCCGGGGTAGATAAAATGAGGACCCAGATTGCTGGGGGCAGTGTGTGTGTGTGTGTGTGTGTGTGTGTGTGTGTGTATGTGTGTGTGTGTGTGTGTGTATATATATATATATACACGCCGCTTAGAGAGTGCTTGCACTTAAAGCGGTATATAAGTCTCATAAATAAATAAATAAATAGTCAGGCTTGTCTCCCCTTGAGTAGTTAGGAAAGAAAAATCCTCGACTCCATTTTTGAAACGAAAGGTCAAGTGGTTACCACCTAAGTCAGACATGTCAAACACAAGGCCCGGGGGCCGGATGCGGCTCGCAAAGTGGTTTCATGTGGCCCACAAAGCCATCCTGGAAACAGTGAGGGAACGGCCCCCTCTGCCTTGCCCTGGCTCAGGCCGGCCGGGAGCCAATGTACAATTTTTGTGGTGGCCATCTATGCTGAAACACATTCAGTCTTAGCTCCACAAGGTCGTCTAGAAACAGCGAGGAACCAGCCCCTGCCGCGTCAGCTCCGCTTCCTGGGTGCATGCTGGGAAGGTGTCACTCTTTGTGAGGAATGAAGGAATGGACCATGCCTTGGTGCTTGCCCCGGTCCCACCCCCTTCTGCCAGAGACCCTCAGATCTGTCCCACTCCTGCCCAGGCCCCCACAGGCACCCTTGACGCGAATGATGTAAAGCTGGCCATGCCCACCCAGTAGGCCACACCCACTCCATCCACGCCCACCCAGTAGGCCACACCCCCCCGAGGGCAACCGCAATGCTGATGCGGCCCTCAATGAAATTGAGTTTGACACCCCTGGCCTAAGCAAAGCTGGAACTGAATATTTCCGTGTAAAACCTGTGTTTTTCCCTCTTCCCTGCCCTCCCCCTTGACCGGTCTGTCATTGTCCAATGACATTCAAATTACATCTTTTGGGAACGTCTTTTGAGGTTTGGCACCTCTTTGGGGGAATTCCACATTCCGTACTCACGGCCCAGTCCTCAAATCAGCCTGCATTTTACGGCAGGATGCCAATGAAGTGACGAGTGCTGAAGATGGCGGACCTGGCACAGGCTCTCTTCATTTGCGTCCAGCTCAACCGCTTATCAGAAGAAACTCCATTACTATCTCTTGACTGCTTGCGCAAATTACTCACTTTTGAAACGGGGGGCGTTCTCCGTTTAGGCGGCTTGTTCGGCTTCTGCTGCGTCGGATGGGCTGGCACCCCTTGACTTTCAGGAGAAACGTTGGAGAGGGGCAAGGTTTTGCTGCCAGCCGCACAGCTGTCCACGGGCAAGGGCTCCCGGACTTTCTGGGGAGCAAAATATTCCAATCCAGGTGGTGGGGCAGAGGCTGCCGGCGGAGGTTGCTGCTGCCGCTGGGTCAGCTGACTTAGGACCGGCGACGGCTCAGGCTGGGATTTGAAGTCTGGGCAGGGTTCGCGAGAAAAGGAAAACACGGAAAACCATCACCAACCCTCACGTGAACAGCACCTGAAAGAGCAGGGGTGGGGGACGACGGCCCTTTCATGACTTGTGTGGACTTCAACTCCCAGCATTCCTGAGCCAGCATGGCTCAGCAAAACATGGCTGGCTCAAGGGTTTTGGTAGCTGAAGTCCACAAGTCGTAAAAGTGACCATCCATTCCCCACCCCTGCCTTAGGGAAACAAAGGCAGTAAGCAACCTTCTTGTGCATGGCACCTGCACCTAGGAACATGGTATGTTAAGTGCTGTTTGACCAGAGTCCACAGGATTGTCTGGGATGCTACGCATCCTCTTCACGGCCTGTTTTCCTTGTTACCTGCTGGGAGGAGGGGGGGGGGCTTCGTGGTACCTGAAGGAGAACATCCAGATTCAGTCACAGTTTTGTTCCACATAGCATCAACCTCGTGAACCCTAAAGCTTCCTCTTTCCACTATGTGTTCAAAATGGACAGTGATTAATGTTTATATATTTATACATGTATGGATGGACACCTTCGGAGCCTGAATCTGCTGAGGAAGATGAGCTGGAACTGGAGCCGAGAGAGGCACCGTTGGCTTGGAGGAATATGGGGAGGAGCAGGCTGAGGTAGGCCTGGGCTTTCAAGATTGGGACAGCTTGAAGGCAAGGAGGAACAGGGGCAGGATGAACATGAGAGACAGAGATCAGGCAATGAGCAAAGGCCACCCCATCCTGATCCTAGAGCAGTGGTTCTCAACTTTTTTAATGCCGCAACCCCCAACCGGTCGTAAGTCGAGGACTACTCAACTGGTGCAGCACCGTTTGCAGAATGGGACTTTTGGCGGGCTCAGCAGGGCAGAGACAGCCTGGACAATTCCTATTGGCTTTTGAAAGCCAATAGAATTAGACTCTATTCAAGAGAGTCTATTCTATTGGCTTTCAAAAGCCAATAGAATAAAAGGGAGTAGCACAGCTAAGGAAAAGGGGAAAAAAATGGCGGACTGCGTTGTTTGGCGACCCCCGTGAAATGGTCGTTCGACCCCAAATGGGGTCCCGACCCACAGGTTGAGAACCACTGTCCTAGAGCATGGAGAATGGAGAGGAGGGAACAGGAGAGCGCCCCGCCCCTCTCCACAAGGCACATCTGGGGACTGAGACTTAAGGAGACGCTGTGGGGAGGGGCATTTGCCGGGAACAAAAGCTGAATTATTGAAGGTGTGTTGTGTGTGTTGGGGGGTACTTGTTCTGGGACTTGCCCGAAACATGGGAGCATTTGAGGAACATTTGGAGCAATAAAGGGGTGGCTTGAACTGCCAGCTGACTGTGTTGCCTCTGTGCTGTGCCCTGGGTCATCACAAAAGGTGCGGGTGCTTGTGTGTGTGTATATATAACGTGTTTATATGTATATTATGTATGGGTATGGGTAGATACAGTATATACAGGTAGTCCTTGAATTACAACAGTTCATTTAGCGGCCACTCAAAGTTTCAACGGCACAGAAGAAAGTGACTTTTTACATTTATGACACTGCAACCATCATAAATACGAGGTGAATCTGGATGTTTTGCTTTGGATACCATGAAGCCTCCTCCCAGAAGGCAACAAGGAAAACAGGTCATGAAGAGGAGCGTGTTTTTTTAATGGATTTATTACATGATCAGTCTTTTATTTTTTTAAATGGGGTAAGACACGTGGAGTCACTTATGTATGAATTGGGCAGCCATATAAACTCAATAATAATTAATAATAATAATCAGAGTAGAATAGAAAAAGCCCTACAGTAGCCCCATGGTGAGATAGGGGACATATGCATTTAATGATCATAATAATCACAACAACAACAATTCATTACCAGGTGATGCACGGATTGAAGAGAAACAGCTAGAAAAATTAACGAAATATCACAATTTGAAAGTTGAAGCTGAACGATTGTGGAGGAAAGAAATCAAAGGTTGTGCCAACAGTAGTTAAGAAGAGCCGAGGTGGCGCAGCACTTAGAGTGCAGTACTGCAGGCCACTTTAGCTGACTGTGTTCAGCAGGTCAGCGGTTCAAATCTCACCGGCTCAAGGTTGACTCAGCCTTCCATCCTTCCGGGGTAGTAAAATGAGGACCCAGATTGTTGGGGGCAATGTATATATATATACACATTGCTTACTGGTGTACACTGCTTAGAGTGTGCTTGCACTTAAAGTGGTATACAAGTCTCATAAATAAATAAATAAATAAATAATAGGAGCCTGTGGACCAACATCCAAAGGGCTGCCTAGATACGTGGAAATCCTGAACTTATTAGACCTGAATATTCAGACTTTGCAAAAACCACCCTACCTGGAACTGCCTAAATATTCAGACGTTACTTAACAGCTCCTAGGTCCTTGGGTAGGATTTGAACTGTGAAGTTTTTACCAGTCTCAGAATGTGAATTGAATTGAAGATTAACCATTATAAATCCATAACAATACACTGTGGGATCTGAAAACCCCAAAGGAATGCTTCGTCAGACGACGTTACATTATGTTCCAACAAAATGTGCGGTTAAAAAAAAAAAAACATTTGGAGGCACGGGTGTTCCATTAACTTGCTTTGATAAGACTGAACGCTTACCAAAATGGCTGAGGATTGACGGCTGTGAAGTCGAAGGTTTGACATCCCAGGATGAGGTTGGCGTTGTGGACACTGGAGAGGTTGTGTTGAGAGGACCCTGTGAGGCGAACTGGCCCAAACCTGGAGATTTCAGAGGCTCCAAAATCTGAGAACCAGTGGAGTTGGCTAACTTTGAAGAGCTGAGTTCTCTGATTCCAGAACTGAGCACTGAAGACTAGAAAAAAAAAAAAAAAAAGAAAGCAGCAAATGTCAGACGCCGAATAACATCCACACTGCCCGTATTAAGATACTATAGAATTAGAATATGGAATGCAGGATAACAGAGTTGGAAGGGACCTTGGAGGTCTTCTAGTCCAACCCCCTCTTCAAGCGGGAGAACCTTATACCATTTCAAAAAATTGGTTGCCCAATCTCTTCTTAGAAACTTCCAGTGTTGGAGCACCCCACACCTTCTGAAGGCAAGTCGTTCCACTAATTGTTCTGTCAGAAAATTTCTCCTTAGTTCTAGTACAGTGATTCTCAACCTGTGGGTCGAGACCCCATTTGGGGTCGAACGACCATTTCACGGGGGTCGCCAAACAAGGCTGACCGCCATTTTTTCCCCCTTTTCTTTGGCCACGCCCCTGGCACCCGATGATGTATAAGTGGTTGGGGGTCACCACAACATGGGGAACTGTATTATGGAGTCGCGGCATTAGAAAGGTTGAGAACCACTGTTCTAGTATTATATTAATGCATTTTATATTATGAATTAGATATGAATTAGATATCACCAATAATAAAAAAATATATTTATTAAACCTAGATTAAAAGGCTCAGGAATAGTTGATTTCCACAAAAAGCAGTTAGTTATGTAATTGGAAAGAAACCCACATCTAAGTCTTCCAGCCTGAAACTACTAGTTATGTCACCAACAAGGCAAATTTGTAGTAATTATTATGCACAGGGCGTGATTTGTGCTCCTCACAAGAATCACCTTAACTAGCTCACTCCAGCTTCCAGCTGGAAGGAGTCAGTAAGCTGTGCTGCAGCACAGCCTCCCTGGAAGGTTACAGATACAAAGGTTAGCCATTATGGATGGAAAGGAATATTTATAGTTCAGGCTTGAACTATGGGGTCCTTAGTGCTTTCTGATCTTGGCTGTTTTCTTGCAGATATTTCATGACCCAACTAGGTAACATCATCATTGTTAGAAGAGGGTGGGATTTCGAGGAGGAGGAGGAGGAAGAGGAGGAGGAGGACTATGGAGTCCTTAGTACTCTGTGCTTGGTTGTTTTCTTGCAGACATTTCACAACCCAACTAGGTAACATCATCACTGCTACGAGGGAGTGGCGTTTCTGGAGAGGAAGAGGAGGAGGAGGACTGTGGGGTCCTTGGTGCTCCCTGAGCATGGTTGTTTTTTTGCAAATGTTTCATTAAGCAACTAGGGCAAGGATCCCCAACCTCCGGGCGTGGACTGCTATGGGGTCGCAGCCCATTGGAAACCTGGCCGCTGAAACAGTGGGCAAGTATGCGAAACTTCATTTGTTCATGCACAGAATATACAGTGGGGGGGGGATTATTTGATCCCCTGCTGATTTTGTACATTTGTCCACTGACAAAGAAACGATCAGTCTATAATTTTAATGGTAGGTTTATTTTAACAGCGAGAGACAGAATAATAACAAAAAAAAATCCAGAAAAAAGCATTTCAAAAAAGTTATAAATTGATTTGCATTTTAATGAGTGAAATAAGTATTTGATCCCCTATCAATCAGCAAGATTTCTGGCTCCCAGGTGTCTTTTATACAGGTACCGAGCTGAGATCCTAATCTCTGCTTGTTACCTATATAAAAGACACCTTGTCCACAGAAGCAATCAACCAATCAGATTCTAAACTCTCCACCCTGGCCAAGACCAAAGAGCTGTCCAAGGATGTCAGGGACAAGATTGTAGACTTACACAAGGCTGGAATGGGCTACAAGACTATCGCCAGGCAGTTTGGTGAGATGGTGACAAGAGTTGGGTGCGATTATTCGCAAATGAAAGAAACACAAAATAACTGTCAATCTCCCTCAGTCTGGGGCTCCATGCAAGATCTCACCTCGTGGAGTTTCAATGATCATGAGAATGGTGAGGAATCAGCCCAGAACTACATGGGAGGATCTTGTCGATGATCTCAAGGCAGCTGGGACCATAGTCACCAAGAAAACAATTGGTAACACACTACACTGTAAAGGACTGAAATCCTGCAGCACCCGCAAGGTCCCTCTGCTCAAGAAAGCACATGTACAGGCCCATCTGAAGTTTGCCAATGAACATCTGAATGATTCAGAGGAGAACTGGGTGAAAGTGTTGAGGTCAGATGAGACCAAAATCAAGCTCTTTGGCATCAACTCAACTCGCCGTGTTTGGAGGAGGAGGAATGCCTGTGACCCCAAGAACACCATCACCCACCGTCAAACATGGAGGTGGAAACATTATATTTGGGGGTGTTTTTCTGCTAAGGGGACAGGACAACTTCACCGCATCAAAGGGACAATGGACGGGGCCATGTACCGTCAAATCTTGGGTGAGAACCTCCTTCCCTCATCCAGGGCATTGAAAATGGGTCGTGGATGGGTATTCCAGCATGGCAATGACCCAAAACACACAACCAAGGCAACAAAGAAGTGGTTCAAGAAGCAGCACGTTAAGATCCTGGAGTGGCCTAGCCAGTCTCCAGACCTTAATCCCATAGAAAATCTGTGGAGGGATCTGAAAGTTTGAGCTGCCAAATGTCAGCCTCAAAACCTTCATGACTTGGAGAGGATCTGCAAATAGGAATGGGACAAAATCCCTCCTGAGATGTGTGCAAACCTGGTGCCCAACTACAGGAAACGTCTGACCTCTGTGATTGCCAACAAGGGTTTTGCCAACAAGTACTAAGTCATGTTTTGCGAAGGGGTCAAATACTTATTACACTCATTAAAATGCAAATCAATTTATAACTTTTTTGAAATGCATTTTTCTGGATTTTTTTTGTTGTTGTTGTTATTCTTTCTCTCACTGTTAAAATAAACCTACCATTAAAATCATAGACTGATCGTTTCTTTGTCAACGAACAAACGTACAAAATCAGCAGGGGATCAAATAATGTTTTCCCCTACTGTAGGTTGTGTCTGCAAAACCATCCCCCCCCCCTTCCTGCTGAAACCACTGAAGCAGCCAGTTCCTGGAACCAAAAAGTTGGGATATGACGTTCCCTAGTCCCCTGAACTAGGAAACATCATCAGTGCTAAGAGGGAGGGGGTTTGCAGAGTGGACGACGAGGAGGAGGATCGTCGGGCGCTTGGTGCTCTCTGAGCTTAATGGTGTCCTTGCAGACGTTTTTATTATCAGCTACACAGCACCCAAAGCGCACTGAGGACGTTACCTCATTTGGTAATGAAACGTCTGCAAGAGAACCACCCAGCTCGGAGCGCATCAAGAACCTCAGAGGGCACCAAGGACCCCACAATTATCCTTTCCAAAAAGCAACTAGAGTTCCCCAACCCCGTCGCAGTTCAAAGCCGTCCAATTTTGTTTTTTTTTTTTCCAGATTCGCAGGAAGATCTTTGACTGTGCATTCTGAGTAACCCGAAGGACGGGCGTTACCAGACTTTGTGCAGAGTAAGTGTTCACAGTGCTTGGATTGCTTGTTCCCAAGGCCATTTGAGGATTGTGCTGGGAATTGGTGAAGATGAGCGCCTGGCTGAAGTTGTTCTGCTGCTGAGAAGCATCAAAGGAGGTGGCCTCCAGGTCTTGATTTGGGCCACCAGGATTCTGGAGCAGCGTCACCAGGTCAATGCTAGGTATAAAAAAGGAAGAAAATTAGGGGATGGGAGAATCCTAAAGGAGAGGCCAGAAGAAATTAAAGTACAGGTTGTTCCACTGATTAATTATTCTAACTGTCAGGAAATTTCTCCTTAGTTCCAGGTTGCTTCTCTTCTTGATTAGTTTTCATCCGTTGCTTCTTGTCCTGCCTTCAGGTGCTTTGGAGAAAAAGCTGACCCCTCTTCTTTGGGGCAACCCCTGAGATATTGGAAGACTGCCATCATGTTACTCCCACTCCTTTTCTTTAAACTAGATATACCCAATTCCAGCAACCTTTCTTTATATGTTTTAGCCTCCAGTCCCCTCATCATCTTTGTTGCTCTTCTCTGCACTCTTTCCAGAGGCTCAACATCTTTTTTATAATGGGGTGACCAAAACTGGATGCAATATTCCTAGTGTGGTCTTACCAAGGCCTTATAAAAAGATACTAGAACTTCACGTGATCTTAGTAATCGTAATAGTAGTAAAGTTGGAAGGGACCTTGGAGGTCATCTAGTCCAACCCCCTGCTCAGGCAGGAAACCCTACACCATTTCAGACAACTGGCTGTCCAGTCTCTTCTTAAAAACTTCCATTGTTGGAGCATTTACTGCTTCTGGAGGCAGGTTGTTCCACTGGTTAATTGTTCTGTCAGGAAGTTTCTCCTTAGTTCTAGGTTGCTTCTCTCCTTGATTAGTTTCCACCCGTTGCTTCTTGTCCTGCCTTCAGGTGCTTTGGAAAATAGCTTGATTCCCTCTTCTTTATGGCAGCCTGTTAATGCAGCCGAGGACTGCATTGGCTTTTTTGACGGCTGCAGCACACGGTTGGCTCATATTTAAGTGACTGTCTACTAGGACTCCAAAATCCTTTTCACAGTTACTGCTATATTGAGCCAAGGTTCAGCTAATCTGTACTTGTACATTTGGTTTTTCTTGCCTTAGTGTAAAACCTTGCTTTTCTCTACTTTGAAGTGACACCACTACATTTTAATCAACTTCTGTGCAGGTGGGGCCTTGAAATGAAGCATTTGTGTTGCATTTTCAGAGAGCAGAGCTCCAAGTGCAACTCTGATGGAAGCAGACTCTAAAGAATCAGAGCAATTCCATCCCCATCTTTAAATTAGGAAAGCATAAATAAAAAAGACAGGCTTGTCAGCTTGAGGTCTATAAACAGCAAGGTCCTTGAACAGATTATTAAAAAGCACTGCTTGTGAGCACCAGAGAAGAATATCACAATTAGTCAAGCCTGACTGACTTTATCTCCATTTTTTTTTGACAGAGTTACTAGCTTAATAGATTGGGGGAACCCATGAACACAGTGTACCTTGAACCTCGGCAGAGCATTTGACTAAGTGTCTCACATTTGACTAAGTGTCTCACGATAGCCTCATTAATAAAATGGTAAATTAACAGCTAGAAGGATGGATGGATTTATCACTGGCTGAATGACTGCACCTAGTCTGCACCTAGACAGCCAGTCATAAATCACTCCACATCAGCTTGGACAGCAGCATGAATTGGAGGGCCAGGCGCTCTGTCCTGGGCCCTACTTAAGCCAACCCTTTTATCATGAGTTGGATGAAGTAATTATAAGGAAAACTATATAATTTGCAGATGATTGAGATTTAAGGTAGTAGCCAACCATTTTTGAACACAGAGAGAACATCTACTAGATACGTATGAATACTGGGCCAAAAAAACCAGAATGAAATTTGACGAGAAACACATCCTGATCTGAGAAGAAAATAAACGAAAGGTAGTCCTCAACTTATGACCACAACTGACCCCAGAATTTCTGTTGTTAAGCAAGACGGTTGTTGAGTGAGTTTTGCCCCATTTTACGCCCTTTCTTGCCACAGCTGTTCAGTGAATCACTGCAATTGTTAAGTATGTAACATGGTTATTAAGTGAATCTGGTTTCCCCATGGACTTTGTTTGTCAGAAGGTCACAAAAGGGGGAAATCACATGACCCCCCCGGGACGCTGCAACCGTCATAAATATGAGTCAGTTGCCGAGCGTCCAAATTTTGATCGTGTGACCGCGGGGATGCTGTAATGGTTGCGTGACAAATGGTGAGAAGTCACTATTTTCAATGCCATTTTTAACTTTGGATGGTCATTAAACAAACAGTTGTAAGTCAAGGACTACCTATGCAATATGTTCCCCTTCTCTGAGAGTCATCAGAGAGAAGCTGGATAGTCATCTGCCCCAAATGAACAATACAGGTAGTCCTTGACTTACGACCACGACTGAGCTCAGAATTTACGTTGCCGAGTGAGAAATTTTACGACTTTTCTTACCACATTTGTTAAGCGAATCACTGAAGTTGATAAGCGAGTAACCCGGATGGTTCAGTGAATCTGGCTTCCCCACTGACTTTGCCTGTCAGTAGGTCGCAAAAGGGGAATCATACAACCCCTGGACACGGCGACCGTCATAAATAAGAACCAGCCGTCAAGCATCTGATGTAAATCAACTGATCGTGGGGATGCTGCAATGGTTGTAAGTGTGTAAAATGGTCAAGTCACTGTTTTCAGCATTGTTGTAATTCTGAACGGTTGCTAAACGAACTGTTGTAAGTTGAGGATTACCTCTATACCGGGGTAGGCAACCTTGGCTCTTTTATGACTCGTAGACTTCAACTCCCAGAATTCCTGAGCCAGCATGGCTCAGCTTGGAAACCTCTCCCTTTCCCCTCAGCATGGCTGGCTCAGGAATTCTGGGAGTTGAAATCCACGAGTCATAAAAGAGCCAAGGTTGCCTACCCCTGCTCTATAGCAAGCAGGAGGCTGCAGCAGATACCTTCCAGGATCATAACTTTCCAAGTTTCACTGCTTCCTGTCTACATGTATATTTGTAAGTGATTATCATACTATTTATGGATAGGGCCAACAATTCCATCGGAGAAAATGGCATCCCAAACTAGCCACTAGACTAGAGACACAACATAGAAAAATACATACCTTTGGCCAGAAGCGACGTGGTTCTCAGCTGGAACCGATGAAGCCGTGAAGACCTTTGTTTCTGAAAGCTAGGATATTAGAGAAAAGAGCGGAATAATATATTTCGCATAAATTCCCCCCCCCCTGCCCCCAGGAGACAGCAACAAAAAATACTAGGTACTTAGAGGATCTAAAATGCAGAGAAAATGATATCCCATTTGGAGGCAATAATTTACATAGATATAAGCAAAGAGGGAACAACTAGAAACAGCAATGCATAAATATTTGGGGGAAGGGAAGTATCTGAAAATATATCAAATGGCTTCATTTTTCTTCCTGGAAAATTTAAAGCTTTCTTGTCATAATTAGATGGAGGGTAGCCCTCTCCAATATATCAAAGCCTCAACCCCCAACACCCCCCTCCCAAATGAATGTATATCTCCCAAACCAGAATAAGATTTGAACCTTTTCTGTATAGGTAGTCCTCAACATTACGACCACAACTGAGCTCAAAATTTCTGTTGCTAAGTAAGAATATTTGTTGTGAGTTTTGCCCCATTTTATGACCTTTCTTGCCTCAGTTATTAAGCAAATCGCTTCAGCTGTTACTTAACAACTGTAACACAGTTGTTAAGTGAATCCAGCTTCCCCATTGACTCTGCTTGTCAGAAGATCACAAAAGGGGATCACCTGACCCCGGGACAATGCAACCGTCGTAAAAAGAAGTCAGCTGCCGAGTGTCTGAATTTTGATGACGTAACCACGGGGATGCTGCAATGGTCGTTAAGTGTGAAAAATGGTCATAACCCATTTTTTTCAATGTGTTCGAACACGGAACGGTCACTAAATGAACTGTTGTTAAGTTGAGGACTCCCTATTGTAGAAGCTGCCAGATAGAGATACGTTAATCTCATCCCAGGCAAGCTGTGTGTATAAAGCTACTTTAACTCAAGTGAAACCTTCGCTCTACATAATAAATCTCAATCTGCCTGCTTTGTTTGGCAGCCACTCAGCAGCATCGAAGCTGAATGCTGAAATATTTTCAGCAAGGAGAGGATTCCAAGGACCGAGTCTGGGATCTTTTCCAAGCAAAGAGAGAAGTCTGAGAGCCACTTTAATGTAGTGGTTAAGAAGAATGGCCTGGAAACCAGGAGACTGGCGTTCTAGTCCCAAATTAGGCATGAAAGCCGGCTGGGTGACTTTAGGCCAATCACCAGGTGACAGTGAATTCTAGTTCCACCCTGGGCATGATAGCCGGCTGGGTGACTTTAGGCCAATCACCAGAAGACAGTGAATTCTAATCCTGCCTTAGGTATGAAAGCTGGCTGAGTGACTTTGAGCCAACCACCAGGAGACAGTGAATTCTAGTTCCACTCTGGGCATGAAAGCTGGCTGGGTGACTTTGGGCCAATCACTAGGAGACATTGAGTTCTAATCCTGTGTTAGCATGAAAGCCGGCTGGGTGACTTTAGGCCAATCACCAGGTGACAGTGAATTCTAGTTCCACCCTGGGCATGAAAGCTGGCTGGGTGACTTTGGGCCAACCACCAGGAGACAGTGAGTTCTAATCCTGCCTTAGCATGAAAGCCAGCTGGGTGACATTGGGCCAATCACCAGGAGACAGTGAATTCTAGTTCCACTCTGGGGTGACTTTGCGCCAATCACCAGGAGACAGTGAGTTCTAATCCTGCCTTAGGCATGAAAGCTGGCTGAGTGACTTTGGGCCAATCACCAGGAGACGGTGAATTCTAGTTCCACCCTGGGCATGAAAGCTGGCTGGGTGACTTTAGACCAATCACCAGGAGAGAGGGAGTTCTAATCCTGCCTTAGCATGAAAGCTGGCTGAGTGACTTTGGACCAATCACCAGGTGACAGTGAATTCTAGTTCCACCCTGGGCATGAAAGCCGGCTGGGTGACTTTAGGCCAATCACCAGGAGAGAGGGAGTTCTAATCCTGCCTTAGCATGAAAGCCAGCTGGGTGACATTGGGCCAATCATCAGGAGACAGTGAATTCTAGTTCCACCCTGGGAATGATAGCTGGCTGGGTGACTTTGCGCCAATCACCAGAAGTCTGTGTATTCTTGTCCTGCCCTAGGCATAATAGTAGCTGGCTGACTTTGGGGGCCAGTCCCTCTCTCTCAGCATAAGCCAACTCGGCAGGAGTGGGTGGGGCAGGCTGTCGTTGTGTGGAAAATAGGAGGACGAAAGAGTATTGGGTGTTTCACTACTTTGAGTTATTTATGAAAATAATCAAGGTGAAATAAAAATCTAATAAATAAATAAAGACAAACCCATCCAGGGTTTCCTGTTTCACAGGAGGCATTTAGTGCATCATTAAGTCAGCCTACCAAGTCGAACGTTGACTATCTAAGGCAGTGGTTCTCAACCTTTCTAATGCCGCGACCCCATAATACAGTTCCCCATGTTGTGGTGACCCCCAACCACTTATACATCACCGGGTGCCAGGGGCGTGGCCAAAGAAAAGGGGAAAAAATGGCGGACAGCCTTGTTTGGCGACCCCCGTGAAATGGTCGTTCGACCCCAAATGGGGTCCCGACCCACAGTTGAGAACCACTGATCTAAGGGAGCTGGGGGGGGGAACACAATCAGGGCATTATGCGAAATCTCCTAGAGAAGAATCTTAATTCAAAAAAGCTGATACTAGACTGAAGATTAGTTGGTGTCCACCTAACCCAGTGTTTCTCAACCTTGACAATTTTAAGGCATGTGGACTTCAACTCCCAGAATTCCACAGCCAGCAATGCTGGCTGTGGAATTCTGGGAGTTGAAGTCCACATGCCTTAAAATTGTCAAGGTTGAGAAACACTGACCTAACCCAATCAGATATATATGCTTGGAAAGAAATCTCCACCGTAGGTTTCTGGTCTGGAACTACATGACACCGCATGAACGTCCTGTGGTCTTCACAAATTGGGTCGCTCACACCTGAGTCGCTCGCACAAGAAACTCACAAAGCTTCATGACTATGGAGATTCTCAGTCACCCAAAAGTTGACCCAAGGTGCTTTTTTTTTTTCAAAAGGCAACTGGACTTTGTTTTTCCATGAAGATGTTTTCCTTCTCATCCAAGAAGCTTCTTCAATTCTGACTGAATGGTGAAGGATGAAAGGATTTATATTCCTCGCAGTCATCTGGTTGTTAGAGCTCTCTCTGAGAGTTATTGAAGCCACTTGGAGGTTTATCAGTGCCCTCCTGAATAGTGAATTCCCATTGGCCTGAATTCCACATCCATTTGCACTATTCAAGTAACCTGGAGGGCACAGATAAACCTCCAAGTGGCCTCAACAGGTCTCAGAGAGAGTGCGAATGACCAGATGACTGCAAGGAATACAAATCCTTCCATCCTCCACTGTTCAGTCAGAACTGAAGAAGCTTCTTGGATGAGAAGCGAAACATCTTCCGAGGAAAGAACAACATCCAGTTGCCTTTTGAAAAAAAAAAATGCTTTGAGTCACAGCAGCATATCACACCCAATTTTCTATCAGAACCTCTTTCAAACAGAAGTTTTGTGCTTCCCTCCTAGCCTCCTACTGGAGACCATTTAACGAAATCCAGCAAGCATCTGTTAAAGAATGATTATTTCAAGAGGCCACAAATGCCCCCATAAATTGGTAGGTCAACACATGATGCAACCCTTGCAAGCAACTCCAAAAGCCAGAGAGAACGAAAAGTATCTCCATTCTAAAATAAACCAGCCTATAACTGTCCTCTGCTTGTGGGTGGAGCTGCTGCTCTGGCCTGTCCAGAAAGGTAAACAGGATGCTGTCCAAAACGGTGGCAATATTGAGGTCACTTGATCCACACAACAGCTGAAAGGTTTTTGCTTACACAGAAGCCTGCAAGATTTCTGAGAAGCAACTTAATCTGCTTGTGAGATGCTGGCCAGAATCTAAATGAGGCACAACAACAACAACAAAAACCACATCGAGAATTCCTTTCTGCAAACTGACAATTCCTTGAAACCAGCAGCTGGTTAAGTTGTTCCACTCTTGAGAAGCAAGCTCAGCTCTAGCTAGTTCTGAAGACAAACCATGAACAACCATCCCTTAAATGTATTGCTTGTTATTTTTGGTTATCTGACGAAGCGATTAGAAGCTTCTCAGTTAGACCAATGCAAACCCATGGCACTTTCAGACACTTTCTGCACAAGGAACACAGTGCAGGTAACCCTAGACTCACAAGCACAAATTGAGCAAACAAATTTCCGTTACTAAGCTAGACAGTTGTTAAGTGACTTTTGGCCCATTTTACCATTTTTCTTGCCACCGTTGTTAAGCGAATCATTGCAGTTGTTAAGTGACAAGTTGTTAAGTGAACCTGGCTTCCTCATTAACTTTGCTTGTCGCAAAAGGGGATCACAGGACCCCAGGACGCTGCAGCCGTCATAAATATGAGTCAGTTGCTAAGCATCTGAATGTAAATCATGTGGCCATATAGGCAACAACAATAACAACAACAATAGAGTTGGAAAGAACCTTGGAGGTCATCTAGTCCAACCCCCTGCTCAGGCAGGAAACCCTATACCATTTCAGACAAATGGCTGTCCAGTCTCTTCTTAAAAACCTCCAGTGTTGGCGCATTCGCCGCTTCTGGAGGCAGGTTGTTCCACTGGTTAATTGTTCTAACGGTCAGGAAGTTTCTCCTTAGTTCTAGGTTGCTTCTCTCCTTGATCAGTTTCCATCCATTGCTTCTTTTTTTTTTTTTTTTTTTTATTAAAAGTTTTATAAATTTTACAAAAAAAACAAAAACAATACAGAACAAAAAACAACATATACAAAAGAAAAAAAAATTAAACAATACATATAAAAAAAAAACCCCCACCCCACACCCCTCCCAAAAACCCTCCCTTCCCCCCCCCTGAGCTTCCCAGAGCAGAATATAGGCTTAAGAAATAATAAAAAAAAAATAAAAATTAAATTAAAAACTTTATATTTATATATATAAAAAAGATATCTATAAGATATATAAAAATAAAACTTATGAAAAAGCTATATAATATTTTTGTATACCCAATCTAAATTGTATAAATTTTATCCATTTGTCCCAGATAGCAAAAAACTTCTCTTGCGTTTGTTGCTTTAAGAAAGCCGAAATCTTTGCCATTTCTGCCAGATAAGCTACTTTAAAAAACCATTCCTGCAATGTAGGCAAAGATTCCTTCTTCCAATATTGTCCAACTAACAGCCTCGCGGCTGTAATCAAGTTTAACATCAATACAACCTCCTTTGTATCCATTGCTTCTTGTCCTGCCTTCAGGCGCTTTGGAGAATAGCTTGACTCCCTCTTCTTTGGGGCAGCCCCTCAAATATTGGAACACTGCTATCATGTCACCCCTAGTCCTTATCTTCATGAAACTAGACATACCCAATTCCAGCAACCGTTCTATTTGTTTTAGCCTCCAGTCCCCTGATCATCTTTGTGGCTCTTCTCTGCACTCTTTCTAGAGTCTCAACATCTTTTTTACATCGCGGTGACCAAAACTGGATGCAGTATTCCAAGTGTGGCCTTACCAAGGCATTGTAAAGTGGTAATAACACTTCACGTGATCTTGATTCCATCCCTCTGTTAATGCAGCCTAGCACTGTGTTGGCTTTTTTGGCAGTTGCAGCCCACGGCTGGCTCATACTTAAGTGACTGTCCACTAGGACTCCGAGATCCCTCTCACAGTTACTACTATTGAACAAGGTAGCACCTATACCAGTGGTTCTCAACCTTTCTAATGCCGCGACCCCATAATACAGTTCCCCATGTTGTGGTGACCCCCCAACCACTTATACATCACCGGGTGCCAGGGGCGTGGCCAAAGAAAAGGGGAAAAAATGGCAGACAGCCTTGTTTGGCGACCCTCGTGAAATGGTCGTTCGACCCCAAATGGGGTCCCGACCCACAGGTTGAGAACCACTGGCCTATACTGTACCCGTGTGTTTGATTTTTCTTGCCTAAATGTAGAACCTTCCTTTTTTCACCACTGAATTTCATTTTGTTAGATAGCGCCCAGTGTTCAAGTCTGTCCAGATCCTCCTGTATCTTAAGCCTATTTTCTGGAGTGTTGGCTATTCCTGCCAGCTTGGCATCGCCTGCAAATTTGATGAGTTCTCCCTCTATCCCCTCATCCAAATCGTTGATGAAGGTGTTGAAGAGATGCTCTTTCATAAATATGAACCAGTTGCCAAGCGTCCAAATTTTGATCGCGTGACCCTGGGAATGCTTGCAACGGTTGTGAAGTGTGAAAAATGTTCACAAGCCACTTTTTTCAGTGCTGTTGTAACTTTGAACAGTCACTAAACGAACTGTTGTAAGTCGAGGACGACCTAGCCGTCTTTTCCATACAAGCATGTGAAAAATGCAGATTTTCAGAAAGTTGTGAGAGCGTAAGTTGTAGGAGATCTCTCTAGCCCAGTGATTCTCAACCTGTGGGTCGGGACCCCATTTGGGGTCGAATGACCATTTCACGAGGGTCGCCAAACAACGCAGTCCGCCATTTTTCCCCCCTTTTCCTTAGCTGTGCTATTCCCTTTTATTCTATTGGCTTTTGAAAACCAATAGAATAGACTCTCTTGAATAGAGTCTAATTCTATTGGCTTTCAAAAGCCAATAGGAATTGTCCAGGCTGTCTCTGCCCTGCTGAGCCCGCCAAAAGTCCCATTCTGCAAACAGTGCGGCACCAGTTGAGTAGTCCTCGACTTACGACCGGTTGAGTAGTCCTCGACTTACGACCGGTGGGGGGTCGCGGCATTAAAAAGGTTGAGAACCACTGCTCTAGCCTCTGCATAAGTTTTCGGAAAAAATATAGTTGAACAATACCCCAGGATTAAAGTTAGCCAAATAACGTTCAAGAAGTTGAAAGTGTTTAAAAGTCAGGCAATGTATTCTGCCACACTCTTTTCAAAGAGAACTGCCACTGCTTAAGAACAAAACTAACAAAAGCTAGACTTACATCTTCGTTCCAGTCTTCGGCCGTCCATTCTTCTACCGAATTCTTCCATGTTCCTGTAGAACAAAAAGGCTGATCAGAAAACTGGCTCATTTCTTAAGGAAACCAGAACCTTGTTCAAATTACAATACCCAAGCAGCCAAAAATGGACAATGGTTAGGGATGTTAGGGGTTGCAGTTGAGGGCCCTAAATTTTCCACGTTTTGGATTACAAATGTAATTACATTTGACAGATTAAAATCATGCAGAGGCATCACCCTGCCAACAAAAATGCGCATAGTCCAGGCCATGGTTTCCCCAGTTGCAACGTATGGCTGTGAAAGTTGGACCATCAGAAAGGCTGAGCGCCAAAGAATGGAGGCCTTTGAACTCTGGTGCTGGAGAAGACTCCTGCGAGTCCCCTGGATTGTAAGGCGATCAAACCGGTCAGTCCTAGAGGAGATCAATCCTGACTGTTCTTTAGAAGGCCAGATGCTGAAGCTGAAACTCAAGTACTCTGGCTACCTAATGAGAAGGAAGGACTCACTGGAGAAGGGCCTAATGCTGGAAAGATGGAGGGCAAGAGAAGAAGGGGACGACAGAGAATGAGGTGCCTGGATGGAGTCATAGAAGCAGTAGGCGTGAACTTAAATGGACACCAGAAGATGGTAGAGGACAGGAAGGAACGTTGTCCATGGGGTCGTGATGGGTTGGACATGACTTCGCAACTAACAACAAAGAATTAAAACTATTGGGCCACCAATCAATATTACTGCAAGTTATCAGACATTGCCCAAAGAAGACAAAAAGGACTCTGACCTCCTGAAATCAAAAATCCAAACTTTGCTTTTGGACAAAGTCTTATCTGCCGAATAAGGCCAGATCTATCTGCAGACCTGTTCTGCCCACCACAGAGATGTAGCTGGGAAATCTGAGATTAAGAAGGAACATCTGTTTCTCAGGTCATTTGAAAAGTTTTATGCTCTGCTTCAGCAGGTACTCATTATAGCAAATCATCAAACTATTAAAAATAACAAAACTTATGAAAGAACAGAAAAAGGATGCATTGAACCACACCATTCAAAAGAGAAGAGTATTGTCTAGGCCAGTGATTCTCAACCTGTGGGTCGGGACCCCATTTGGGGTCGAACGACCATTTCACGGGGGTCGCCAAACAACGCAGTCCGCCATTTTTTCCCCCTTTTCCTTAGCTGTGCTACTCCCTTTTATTCGATGGGCTTTTGAAAGCCAATAGAATAGACTCTCTTGAATAGAGTCTAATTCTATTGGCTTTCAAAAGCCAATAGGAATTGTCCAGGCTGTCTCTGCCCTGCTGAGCCCGCCAAAAGTCTCAGTCTGCAAACGGTGCTGCACCAGTTGAGTAGTCCTTGACTTACGACCGGTTGGGGGGTCGCGGCATTAAAAGGGTTGAGAACCACTGGTCTAGTGGTTAAGACATCAGGCTAGAAACTGGGAGGACGGGAGTTCTAGTCCCACCTTAGGCAGGAAAGCCAGCCTGGTGAGTTTGGGCCAATCACCAGGAGACGGCGAGTTCTAGTCCTGTCTTAGGCATGAAAGCCAGTTGGGTGACTTTGGGCCAGTCCCTCTCTCAGCCCAATTTAGCTTGCAGGGTTGATATTGTGAGGAAAAGAAGAGGAGGAAAGCGTACAGATAGTCCTCGACTTACAACAGTTTGTTTAGTGACCGAAGTTACAACGGCACTGAAAAGAGTGACTTAGGACCTTTTTTTCACTTGTGGCCGTTGCAGCATCCCCACGGTCATGTGATTTACATTCGGATGATTGACAGCTGACTCCTATTTATGACAGTTGCAGTGTCCTGGGGTCATGTGATCCCCTTTGGTGACCTTCTTACAAGCAAAATCAATGGGCAAGCCAGATTCACTTAACCATGTGACTAACTTAACAACTGCAGTGATTCACTTAACAAACGTGGTACGAAAAGTCGTAAAATGGGGCAAAAACTCACTTAACTAATTTCTCACTTGGCAACATAAATTTTGGGCTCAATTGTGGTTGTTAGGTTGAGGACTATCTGTATTAGGTACTTTCACCATCTTGAATTGTTTATTAAAAAAATATAATAAAAGCAGGACAGAAACTACCGTACTTTCCGGCGTATAAGACGACTTTCTAAAGCGTTGAAATCGGCGCTGAAGTCGGGGGTCGTCTTATACGCCGGGTCGCCTTATACGCCGGAAATTACGGTAGTTTCCGGCGTATAAGACGACTTTCTAGACATGCAACTCGGCGCCGAAGTCGGGGGTCGTCTTATACGCCAGGTCGCCTTATACACCGGAAAATACAGTAGTTATCTTCTTAAACTTTGCTTCAGGCCATCTTTACAAAAGCTGCTATCTAGCCCACACCGCCAACCTCAAAACAGCCCTCCCAGCCTGCTATAGTAATAAATCATTTTTAAACTAACCAAATTAACAGCCCATGGCAGAAACAGAAGAGCCAAGAGTGAGGACACCTTAGTTCTGGGTTACTGGGACAAAGTCTGCAGCAGTCAAAATGATTTTTTCAGCCAAAATCAAAACACAATGTTTTTATAAATCCTTTCACGGGTGACTATTGATTGTGTTTGTGTTTGTGTGTGTGTGTGTGTATTTACTAGGTTTTCCAAAAATGTTTTTTAGCTTGTTTATTTATTTTATTACTTGGAAGTCATGATACATACAAACAGTGCTTTTATTGTAAAAAAAAAAAAAAAGGTGCTGGAACTCACACATGTCATACCACCCGCCTTGCCTATCCTACAAGATTCCATCCCAAAAAGGTGCCGGAACTCCGTTCTGGGCATTCTATGAGAAAAAAAGCCCTGCATACAAACTATATCAGGCAGTGAGGATTATTGTCACGCAAAGACATAGAAACAGATTTCAATAAAATTAGTTAGGCAGATTTTATATATAGCATGGAAAATTGGGATATTAAAATGTTTTATTACTAAAAGAGGAACATTCCCATCCAAGTGAAATAGGAACTATGGATTCCCAAAAACAAAAGGGTGTTTTTTTCTTCTTCCATGCTTCCAAACCACTGACCATTTTTCCCGCACTCATGAGAATTCAAAAATAATGACAAAAAAATTTACCTGGACTTTACATGTAAATGACATTTATGTACCATTGAGCTTCTTGGGGGCTGTTCTGGGAAAGAGACCCCAAGCCCCCTTAAACTAAAAAAAAAAAAAAAAAAATGTTGCAAGCCAGGAAATCTTGACTGTAAAGCTGTTGTAAAAAACATCTCTTCGCATCCGTCCTGCAAATATGTTAAGACTGTATTTGTTTTGCATTCCTGAGTATCTCTTCGGTTCTAAATTTAGACTAAATAATTTAACAGAGGACTGAAATTTTGGAAAATGAGTAAGAGAGCTGGGGTAGCATGTGGAAAATTTCAAACAAGCTAGTCTTCCAAGGTGGCCACAAAGAAGATTGGGTCAAGCTATTCTCCAAAGCACCTGAAGGCAGGACAAGAAGCAAAGGATGGAAACTAATCAAAGACAGAACCAACCTAGAAATAAGGAGAAATTTCCCGACAGTGAGAACAATTGATCAATGGAACAACCTGGGTGCCTCCGGAAGTTGTGGGTGCTTCAACAATGGAGGCGTTTAAGAGCATCCATTTGTCTGAAATGGTATAGGGTTTCCTGCCTGAGAATTGGGTTGGACTAGTAGACCTCCAAAGCCCTTCCAAATCTATTATTTGTCACAGATCAGAGTAAAAAGAAGTATTCACAAGCAGCTTCGACAGAAAAGATCAAAGAAGTGATGAGTTTGCTATAAAGTGGGTGCCACGACTTTCCTCCTTTGTGGGGAGAGGTCAGGATAAGTGGTAGGTAGGAAACCAAGGCTTTTGTAGTTCTTAGTTGCACATTATTCTCTCTCTCTCTCATCTCTCTCTCTCTCTCTCTCTCTCTCTCACTCTCTCTCACACACACACACACACACACACATACACAAATGCCAATGGAAAACTGTTTTGAGGGGTCCTTGCTACTCTCTGAGCTTGCTTGTTTTCTTGCAGATGTTTCATGATCCAGACTAGGTAACATCTGAGGTTACCTAGTTTGATCATAAATCATCTGTAAGAAAACAAGCAAGCCCAGAGAGCAGCAAGGACCCCTCATTTCAACCCTGAGCCCCAAATATTCTCCTTTACTGAAAACTGTTTTGCAGGTAAGATTACAGACAGCATGTACACCCTACCTTCACCTATTCTTAGAGAAAAACACATCTTTTTTTGTATCAGGAAACACACGTTGATTATCACCTGCTATTGGCAATTTGGGACAGGCTTGTAATTTGCAACCTGGTCGTTCCCTCACCTGTTCCATCAGCTGCATCATTTTCTCCCAGTTCCCAAGACTCCTGTTTTGCTCCAAAGCCATCGGTGGCAGAGGAATCATTGTAATCTGCAGGGTTAAATGTCCTACAGGTCAAGAGAGGTGGAGAAAGTCAGAACTCTTAAGAGAAAGCAAGACTTCAGTAATTGTCTGGTCAGCCTAGCCCAGCATTTTCCCTTCCAACCTAGAAAGGCCACAGAGGTCACACTGAGTGGCCTTTGGCGCTCTCTGAGCTAGAATGTTTCCTTGCAGACATTGTATTACCCAACTAGGTAACATCATCAGTACTAGAAGGGAGTGGGGTTTGGGGCAAGGGGGAGGACGACGACTGTGGGGTCCTTGGTGCTCTCTGACCCCAATTGTTTTCTTGCTTTTACTACCCAACTAGGTAACATCATCAATGCTAGAAGGGAGAGGGGTTTACTCTCAATTTATATTGCCTTGTCAATCCTGGTGGGAGTGGTCTTGTTGGTTGGGCTGTTTACTGTTAGCCTGTTGGGCAGTTTCTTGTTTGTTGGGCTGGTGTTAATTTTGGTGTTAATCTATGCTCAGCTGGGTGTTGATTGCTGATGGGGAGTTGTTTTTGGTCTTTTTGATCCCTTTTTGGTTTATAATAATAATAGTAGTAAAGTTGGAAGGGACCTTGGAGGTCATCTAGTCCAACCCCCTGCTCGGGCAGGAAACCCTACACTATTTCGGACAAATGGCTGTCCAGTCTCTTCTTAAAAATTTCCAGTGTTGGAGCATTTACTGCTTATGGAGGCAAGCTGTTCCACTGATTAATTGTTCTCACTGTCAGCAAGTTTCTCCTTAGTTCTAGGTTGCTTCTCTCCTTGATTAGTTTCCACCCGTTGCTTCTTGTCCTGCCTTCAGGTGCTTTGGAAAATAGCTTAATTCCCTCTTTTTTATGGCAGCCCGAGATATTGGAATACTGCTATCATGTCCCCCCTTGTCCTTCTCTTCGTTAAACTAGACATACCCAATTCTAGCAACCGTTCCTTATATGTTTTAGCCTCCAGTCCCCTAATCATCTTTGTTGCTCTTCTCTGTACTCTTTCTAGAGTCTCAACATCTTTTTACATCGTGGTGACCAAAACTGGATGCAGTATTCCAAGTGTGGCCTTACCAAGGCATTGAAGATTTATTAGTCAGCACTGAAAACAATTCCTTTAAATGTCAAGGTTGCTGGGATATTTGTGTCCATTCAAGCAGATCTGCTAACAAAATGTTCTTGCTGTTCTTCTTAGCACTGGCTCTATATGGTGGCTTATTCACTGCCACTTTACTTATTATAGCAAGCTGCCCACTTTGCAATTGTGGCTCTGGGCAATAAACACAAGATCAAAATCATCAAAGATCACTAAACCAAAAATAGCAAAAGAACACAGAGCAAACCTTTTAAAACTGATGTTACTTAGTTTGGTAATGAAATGTCTGCAAGAAAACCACCAAGCTCGGAGAACACCAAGGACTCCACAGTAAACAACGGCCTAATCAAGGAACCACCCAGTCCACTACTACCAACACTTGTACATAAACAGAGACCAAACCCAATTCCCTTCTAGCACTGATGATGTTACCTGGTTGGGTAATGAAACATCTGCAAGAAAGCAAACAAGATCAGAGAGCACCAGGGACTTCACAAGAGAACCACTGTTTCAGAAATGTATTCACTTAGATCAGTGGTTCTCAACCTGTGGGTCGGGACCCCATTTGGGGTCGAACGACCATTTCACGGGGGTCGCCAAACAATGCAGTCCGCCTTTCCCCCCCCCCTTTTCCTCAGCTGTGCTACTCCCTTTTATTCTATTGGCTTTTGAAAGCCAATAGAATTAGACTCTCTTGAATAGAGTCTAATTCTATTGGCTTTCAAAAGCCAATAGGAATTGTCCAGGCTGTCTCTGCCCTGCTGAGCCCGCCAAAGTCCCATTCTGCAAACGGTGCTGCACCAGTTGAGTAGTCCTCGACTTACGACCGGTTGAGTAGTCCTCGACTTACGACCGGTCGGGGGTCGTGGCATTAAAAAGGTTGAGAACCACTGACTTAGATCTTATAGACAAGCTATCAATGCATGATTTAAGAGCCCTGGTGGCACAGTGATTAGAATGCAGTATTGCAAGCTAACTCTGCCCACAGCCAGGAGTTCGATCCTGACCAGCTCAGCCTTCTATCTTTCCAAGGGCGGTAAAATGAGGATCCAGATTATTGGGAGCAATGTGCTGACTGTAAACTGCTTAGAGAGGGATGTAAAGCACTGTGAAGCAATATATAAAGTCTAAGTGCTATTGCTATTGCAATGAGGTTTTATTAATCAGTCAGCTCATCAAAGAGGTCTGAGAGGGAATGGATGGTCTAAGGCCGTGGTGGCGAACCTATGGCACGCGTGCCACAGATGGCACGCAGAGCCCTCTCTGTGGGCACGCGCGCCGTCACCCCAGTCCTAGGCCTTCAGCTGGGTTTTATAAAACTTTTTTGCTTTAGGCCTCCGCCGCCGTGTGCAAAAAAAAAAAAAAAAAAAAAGGTTCAATCAATCAATTTCAACTTCTGGGGGGGGGGAAATCTTGCAAAGTTGGAATTGATTGATTGAACTTTTTAGTCCCACCCAGCCTGCCGTTACCACTGCAGCCACGCCCACCCAATGGGCCACGCCCACCTGGCACCTGACGATACATAACTGGGTTTCAGGTTGCATTTTGGGCATTCGGTCTCTAAAAGGTTCGCCATCACTGGTCTAAGGTCACCCAGCTGCTTCCATGCCTAAGAAAGAATTATAATCTGACTTCCCGGATTTCTGATTTAGATTGCTTTTGTCCTTTTATCAAGTTCCTTTGCTAAGAGGAATAAAGAAGGCAGAAGGCCCTGCTCAACAAAATCTGCAGAATTTCCAACCACATACGGTTAAGCAGTATTGTTTGGTCCACGTTTAGTTAAAATACAAGCTGTTATTAAAAACCTACCCCATGCCTTGGGCTGAAAATCTCCCAGTTCCTCTTCCTCTGGCTCGTCCAAATCCTACAGAAAAAGGAAGAACTTAGTTTCAAAGGGCAAAGTGGATAAACAGAATTTCAAGAGGAAAACAAGGAAAGAAAGGGAAAAAAAAACACTTCCCCCCCCCTCCTTCTAAGAATAAAATGCATCTTGGACAAGGAAGCAGAACCAGATTTAGGATTAAGATAATTTGATAGAATTAATATTTATAAGGAAGACAAGAGGAAGAATTGTTATCCTGCGAGACTCTGGTTTTTCCAAGATGTGGGAATGCAGGATCAAACCTGTCAGTTTAAAAAAGCCACAAGACCAATAAAAAAAAAGAGATTATTTTAAGCTGAAGGTTGAACTGTGGATTCCTTGGTGCTCTCCGTGCTGAGTTGTTTTCTTGTGCCTAGTTTGGTGACCCAACTAGGTAACAACGTCAGTGCTAGAAGGAAGTGGGTTTTGCTCTTTGTTGTTAAGTGAATCACTGCAGTTGACAAGTTAGTAACCTGGTTGTTAAAGTGAATCTGGCTTCCCCACTGACTTTGCTTCTCAGAAGGTTGCAAAAGGCAATCACATCACTTTGGGGCACAGCAACACTCGTAAGTATCAACCAATCTGCCCTCTCCGCGGTCCGGTTCCGAATGTTTCAAGGCTCGGTAGCGGGCCGCGGACCGGGGATTTGGAGACCCATGCTTTCAAATATTCTTCTGTTCTAAATCCCTCCATTTGTTGTGGAAAAAACCACGATACTTACATCAGAAGACAAGACCACGAAGGGTTGGAGAAAACAGGCTTTATTTGTGCACAATGGTTCAGAGCATTCACACGACAGATTCTGAACCCTCTGAGGGTGTCATTTTTATACAGCTTGCCGCCCACGCTTAACCTAATAGATGACTTCTTATCTACCTTTAACACACTAAAAGAGAGAAGTTCATATCTTGAGACAACACACATAGGAAAAAGGGAAGTTTATACAATGTGCAGAAAACCACACTCCCCTACACGTGTAATAGCTTACACCATTTGTGACTTTCAGTTGGCACTTCTTGTAAAAATGTTTCTTCATAGAATTGCACACAGGTCATCACATTCAGCCAGTTTATAGTATTAGTTAATGCTTTCAAAACATCACTTCTGTTAATTAAAATACAATTCAAAAGTACTTTTATCATTTCTCTTAATGGCAATTTTCCATCTACCTCACATTCACCACCATTCAGTCAGAACCGAAGAAGTTTCTTGGATGAGGAGAAAAACGTTTTCAAAACAAAAAAAAAGTCCAAATTTCCTTTTGAAAAGCACCGTTAAGACAACCATGATTGAGAAGCTCCGCTGACAATGTTGACAAACATGCCTGCTTGGGCTGCCAAGTTCTCTGCCAGGACATCAAGTCCAGCAGCCCAGGCCTCTGCCGTAACTGGCATTCCCAGCTGTGCTTCTGGACCCCAGGGTTGACGGGCAGCTGGCAGGGGACAGCCAGGCCAGTTGCTCTGCTGAGAAACAGGCATTTTGTGGCTCACTCAGGGAAAAGCACAGAGAGTGTGTCCTCTGGCTTCTTCCTCGGATGAAGTCTTCGTTGCAGAAAATAAAGGCATCGTGAAACTGAGTTTGTCCCAGTAGATTAGTATTGTGATGCAAGTCCGGATTGTAATCCTGCATTGCTTAGAAGTTAAAAATATGAAAGGACTTTGCTTTTAGTATCAAGAGATTAACATCCTGGGCCGCAGAGGCTGGCTTCAATGCCTGGCCAAGCCAAGGATTTTATTTTACATTCACTATGGGAGAAGAAAATAAAAGGTTATTCAGGGGCAGTTTACCAGGCACTTTTATTGATAAGCCTCCATAATCTTCTGCACAGTCCAAGAAAAACCAAATGCACAGGTATAGTATAGGGGGAGTACCCTGCTCAATAGTGGTAACTGTGAGAGGGATTTCGGAGTCCTAGTGGACAATCATTTAAATATGAGCCAGCTGTGTGCTGCAGCTGCCAAGAAAGCCAACACAGTGCTAGGCTGCATTAACAGAGGGATAGAATCAAGATCACGTGAAGTGTTATTACCACTTTACAAGGCCTTAGAAAGGCCACACTTGGAATACTGCATCCAGTTTTGGTCACCATGATGTAAAAAAGAGGCTGAGGCTCTAGAAAGAGTACAGAGAAGAGCAACAAAGATGATTAGGGGACTGGAGGCTAAAACATATAAGGAATGGTTGCTGGAATTGGGTATGTCTTATTTAATGAAGGGAAGGACCTGATAGTAGTTTTCTGATATTTGAGGAATACTCAGGAATTCTGGGAGTTGAAGTCCATGAGTCATAAAAGAGCTGAGGTTGCCTACCCCGGTCTAGTTTAATGAAGAGAAGGACGAGGGGGGACATGATAGCAGGCTTCTAGTATCTCAGGGGCTGCCCCAAAGAAGAGGAGAAGCTATTCTCCAAAGTGCCTGAAGGCAGGACAAGAAGCAATGGATGGAAACTGATCAAGGAGAGAAAGCAACCTGGAACTAAGGAGAAATTTCTTGACAGTTAGAACAATTAACCAGTGGAACAATCTGCCTCCAGAAGCGGTGAATGCTCCCACACTGGAAGTTTTTAAGAGATTGGACAGCCATCTGTCTGGAACGATATAAGGTTTCCTGCATGAGGGCTGGACTAGATGACCTCCAAGGTCCCTTTCAACTTTATTATTATTATTATCATTATTTGAGGTTTAAGTACAGGTAGTCCTTGACTTATAACAGTTTGTTTTGTGACAGTTTGAAGTTACAACGGCTCTTAAAAAAGTAACTTATGATCTTTTTCATGCTGAGGACTATTGCAGCATCCCCACTATCACATGGTCAAAATTCAGACCCTTAGCATCTGACTCATATTTATGACGGTTGCAGGGTCCTGGGGTCGTATTATCCCCTTTTGCGACCTTCTCTCAAACAAAGCAATGGGGAAGCCAGAGTCAGTTGACAACTGTGTTACTAAGTTATCAATTGCAGTGATTCACTTAACAACTCTGGCAAGAAAGGTCTTAAAATGGGGCAAAGCTCACTTAGCAAATGTGTCACTTAGCAACGGAAATTTGGGGGCTCAATGATGGCTTTAAATTGAGGATTACCTGTACAGTTTTAGTCTGCACTCCTCTGTGGTTATCTGAGAAAGGGGAAATTCTGTCAGTTGAAGTCACTTTTAGGCACGTCGGGCAATGCTTTTATTATTTTTAAGATGTTCTTCTTGGCCACAACATACCTTAGACACAACATACATTCCCTGACACGCAAGCGGACAAACCTCCAGAGACCTTCCGTCCAAGAAGTTGCAGAAAATATATTGCGGAAGCTTTCCACCCAAACTGTTCCTTTTGAGGTGGATTTCTTTTTAAAAAAAAAAAAATTATAAAAGTGGCTTAACCCCCCCCCCCGGAACACCAGTAGTTAAGGCAGCAGTTCTCAACTTGTGGGTCGGGACCCCATTTGGGGTCGAACGACCATTTCACAGGGGTCGCCAAACAACGCAGTCCGCCATTTTTTCCCCCTTTTCCTTAGCTGTGCTACTCCCTTTTGTTCTATTGGCTTTTGAAAGCCAACAGAATAGACTCTCTTGAATAGAGTCTAATTCAATTGATTTTCAAAAGCCAATAGGAATTGTCCAGGCTGTCTCTGCCCTGCTGAGCCCGCCAAAAGTCCCATTCTGCAAACGGTGCTGCACCAGTTGAGTAGTCCTCGACTTACAACCAGTTGAGTAGTCCTCGACTTACAACCGGTTGGGGGGGGGGTCGCGGCATTAAAAAGGTTGAGAACCACTGAGTTAAGGCATATAAAGCCCGGTACTTTACCTCTCCCTTTGCCGCGTTTCCCACGATCGGAAGGCCGCTCGCCAGGTGGCGTTTCCACTCCATTTTCTTCGACTCTAACTAGATATGAGAGAAATACAGAAATATAATCTCAGAACGTACATTTCGTTTTTAGGCGGTTTAGTCAGGTATTTTCAACCGCACGCAAACGTGAGCAAGATAGCAGGAGGGGAAAGAGCAAGGGCGCAAGAGTTGGTGACTGTTCCCATTGTCTTTGTCCTAAGATCAGTGTGGTTAAGCTTGTGATAATCAATGCTTGTTTAATAGCACAAGTTCGTTTTTCCGCCAACTGGCAACTTGTAGTCTCTTTCCATTCATCTAGTTCAGTGTTTCTCAACCTTGACAATTTTAAGGCATGTGGACTTCAACTCCCAGAATTCCACATTCAGCATTGCTGGCTGTGGAATTCTGGGAGTTGAAGTCCACATGCCTTAAAATTGTCAAGGTTGAGAAACACTGAGATTCTAGTTACACATTTTCATGCTTTCATTTACCTAAATGGTTTAGGGCTGGGAGTTTTCTGTTTTCTGATAGAAGAGAGTATTTATAGATCAGGGTTGGACTGTGGGGTCTTTGATGCTCTCTGAGCTTGGTAGTTTTCTTGCAGACGTTCATGACCCAATTAGGCAACATTATCAATGCATGGAAGGAGTGGGGTTTGCAGAGGAGAGGGGAGGGGAGGAGAGGAGGAGGAGGAGGAGGACAACAACGACAACTGTGGAGTCCTTGGTGCTCTCTGAGCTTGCTGGTTTTCTTACAGACATTTCATGACCCAACTAGGGAATGTTATCAGTGCATAGAAGGAGTGGGGTTTGCAGAGTGGTGGAGAAGGAGGAGGAGGACTGTGGGATCCTTGGTGCTCTCTGAGCTTGCTGGTTTTCTTACAGACATTTCATGACCCAACTAGGGAACGTTATCAGTGCATGGAAGGAGTGGGGTTTGCAGTGGAGGAGAAGGAGGAGGAGGACTGTGGAGTCCTTGGTGCTCTCTGAGTTTGGTGGTTTTCTTGCAGACATTTCATAACCCAGCTAGATCACATCATAGGTTCAGACCGAGTATGGGCTTTGCTCCATAGCTTGCCCTACCAGTACTGGTGGAGGTAGTTCCTCAGTTAGGGGAGCGGTCTCCAACCTTTCTGGCTAGGCGGACTGACAGAGGCGGCGGCAGCAGAGCGGGAGGAAAGAGGGGATAGTTTCACACACATGTTCTCCTTTCACAAATGCAGCATTGCGCACACGCCCAGCACTTCCATAGCCAAATTCTGAACAGGCTGCCACACAGCACTGGGCTGCGGACCGGGATTTGGGGACCTCTGAGTTAGGGTACTGCTTTTTCCTTATTTGTCTAGTATTAATCCCTGCTTATCTTGGAGAAGGTGTGTTCTGGGACCAAAAAAAAACAAAAAACAAAAAAAACCGCAAACGCCACACTCACCAGCACTGATGATGTTACCTAGTTGGGTAATGAAACGTCTGCAAGAAAATAATCAAGCTCAGAAGCACCAAGAAGCCCACAGTTTTCTGGGGCTTTGTTTGTTTGTTTGTTTATATTGCAGGAATTGTTTTACTTAGTGTTACAGGGCCCTTACAGTTTTGAAAGGTGTCCCGAGCCTTCTTCAAAGAACTGAAATGAAGGCAATTCAGGCCCCCACAGTGGAAAATACAATAACAGAGTTGGAAGGGATTTTGGAGGTCTTCTAATCCAACCCCTCCTGCTCAGGCAGGAAACCCTGTGCCATTTCAGACAAGTGACTGACAAGTCTCTTTTTAAAAACTCCCTGTGTTGGAGGACTCAGTTAAGAGTTTGTAGGGTGCCTTTCACACATTCCTCATCATGGTCTCAAATCACCTCAATGTTCTCACCCTGGGATAGAGAGGAAACGAGGATAGCAAAAGCCAATCAGGGTCAAGCTTCTTCCCAGGACAGTTGTGTATGTGTGCATGTGTGTGTTTTCCCATCAGCCTCTACTGCAAACATACAACAAAGCAGCTGAAGCCTAAAGTGCTCCTAGTAAGCTGCGAGCAACTACGCCCAGATGCGCCTAGCAATCCAAAGTCTGGGTTTACACCAGGGGTGTCAAACTCAATTTCATTGAGGGCCACATCACACTGCGGTTGCCCTCAGGGGGCCGGGTGGGTGTGGTCAGGGTGGGTGCAGCCTACTGGGTGGGCGTGGATGGAGTGGGTGTGGCCTACTGGGTGGTTGTGGCCAGCTCTACATCGTTCGCGTCAAGGGTGCCTGTGGGGGCCTGGGCAGGAGTGGGACAGATCTGAGGGTCTCTGGCAGAAGGGGGTGGGACCGGGGCAAGCACCAAGCCATGGTCCACTGGAGGAGCCTTGTTGTTCTTCTCAGGCTGTGCAGCGGGGGGGGGGGGCTTATGGAGCTTAGACTGAATTTATTTCAACATAGATGGCCACCACAAAATTGTACATTGGCTCCTGGCCGGCCTGGGCCAGGGCCAAGGCAGCCGTTCCCTCACTGTTTCCAGAATGGCTTCGTGGGCCACATGAAACCACTTCGCGGGCCGCATCTGGCCCCCGGACCTTGTGTTTGACATGTCTGGGCTTACACTCTCGCCCGCGGCTGCCTCTTCCTCGTCTGCTGGACGTTCCCCATCCACGGCTGACTTCTCTGTCTCCTCGCTTTTCTCTGTTCTCTTTGTTTTCAGCGCTCTCTTTCCCAAGGCTTTTCTTCTTGCCTCCTACCGTCTCCCACGAAGTCTAGTGAAGCAGAGAGGGAAAACACAGAACAACAATTCAAAAGGGGTTTAAAGACGGCCTTACAGAGCAGCAGCATCGCCCAACCGCAATCTCCGACCCCTCTCAGGGAACAATTGGGGGACCCTTCCCACGCACCAGGTACACCCAAGACCCACAGAATCTAGGAATCGACCACGCTGGAGCAGTGTTCTTACAAAGGCATGTTACAGGTAGTCATCGGCTTACGACCACAACCGAGCCTAACATTTCTGTTGCCGGGCGAGATAGTTGGGAAGTGAGTTTTGCCCCGTTTTATGACCTGTCTTGCCTCAGCTGTTAAGGGAATCGCTGCAGTTAAGTTAGTAAGAATCTGGTTTTCCCATTGACTTTGCTTGCCAGAAGCCCGCAAAATGGGATCACACGATCCCGGCACACGGCGACCGTCATAAATACGAGCCATTTGTCAAGCGCCTGAATTTTGATCCTGTGACCACAGGGACGCTGCGACAGTCGTTAAGTGTGAAACACAGACATAAGTCGCTTTTTTCGGTGCTGTTGTAACATCGAAAGGTCACCAAGTGAAGGGCTGCCAGTCAAGGGCTACCTGTATTGTTTTATATCTTTTTGACTGGCAGGTGATCTTCAAAACATCAGGCTACGATGTGAGCTGCACAGGTTGCTGGTGCAATTCAAGAGCCTACGTGACTTGAGACCGGATCGCTTGAAAGATCATCTTTTTTTTTTTAAGAGTTTTTAATCTTCCCAACTAGATCCAACAGGTTGGATGCTACAGTTCCCGTCAGCCAAAGAGTGCTGATTGGCGGGAACTCAAAAGGTGGGCCTTCTCTGACATAGTCCCTGCTCTCTGGAATATCCTCCCCCTGTTAGCTTTTTCCAAGGTGTTCAGAACATGTGAAGGGCCCCGTTACTTGGCTTTATTATTAGCTGATTAATCGTGCTGCTGTTTGTATTGGTTTATTTTGCAGATGTTTTTATTCTTTTCATGTTTTAAATTGTTTTTAGAATTTTAAGCCACCCAGAGTCATTTTGTTGAATTGGATGGCTGTAGAAAATGGATGGATGGATAAACTATTTCCAATATTATGAGTATTTTTAGTCCCAGGGAGGGATGAACAAAAGCAGGATATTGGGAAAAGGGTTTGTTTGTTCGTTCGTTCATTGATTCATACATTTAATTTCTACAGTGCCCATTTCTGTCAATGACTCTGAGTGGCTTACAATTAAAAGAATGCTTTACAATTAATAATACTCAGAATAGAACTGGAAGGGACCTTGGAGGTCTTCTAGTCCAACCCCCAGCTCAAGCTGGAGTCCCTATAACATTTCAGACAAGTGGCTTCTTAAAAACCTCGAGTGATGAAGCACCCACAACGTCTGGAGGCAAGCTGTTCCACTGGTTAATTGTCCTCACTGTTAGGAAGTTTCTCCTTAATTCCAGGTTGCTTCTCGCCTTGATTAGTTTCCATCCATTGTTTCTTGTCTTGCTTTCTGGTGCTTTGGAAAATAGGTTGACCCCCCTCCTCCTTGTAGCAGCCCCTCAAATACTGGAATACTGCTTCCTTAGTTCTTCTTTTCTCTAGACTGGCCATTCCCAATCTAAAAATAGTAGTGTTCCCCTTTTCACACTTTAGTCCTAACGGAACTCTTTTTTTTTTTCCCCTCCAGCCTGCCATTCAGAACCCTCTCTACCCTTGCTAGGCTCTCCAAGATACCATATTTAGTTAAAAAAAAAATTAAAAAAAAATAAGCCAAAACACTAAAGACATTTGCATGTTTTTGCACTACACATGAAACTAGGAGACAATGCACTTATTCCTGCTTTGTAAGACCACAGAGGAGGGTGATAGTACACCTTTTTACGCTTGGATCTTCCATGCAAAAATGTTAGGTACTGCCTGTGCTCATATGTTCAGTAGGAGGAGGAAGATAATCCAGCCCACGCAATAGCTCCTCTGTCAGTGCTTAAAGTACCAACTGGCTAGATAAGAGCTAGATCAGTGGTTCTCAACCTTTCTAACGCCACGACCCCATAATACAGTTCCCCATGTTGTGGTGACCCCCAACCACTTATACATCACCGGGTGCCAGGGGTGTGGTCAAAGAAAAGGGGGAACAAAATGGCGGACAGCCTTGTTTGGTGACCCCCGTGAAATGGTCGTTCGACCCCAAATGGGGTCCCGACCCACAGGTTGAGAACCACTGAGCTAGATAAATGGGGAACAAAAAAGGGTCACTTGCTTGTGCAATCCTAAATTGCATTTTATCCAACTGTTCACTCACAATGCAGTGCACACAATGCATTCCCTGAGCCAGGTGTGATTGGATATTCCTGGAAGGGAAGCAGAGTTGTCTGACTCAAGCTGACTCAAGACAAACTGTACTCAACGAGTAGTCCTCAAAGGCACTACATCCACATGGAGAGAAGTAAGTAGTGGGGTACCACAAGATTCCGTCTTAGGCCCTGTACTCTTCAATATCTTCATCAATGACTTAGATGAGGGAATTGAAGGGGAACTCATCAAATCTGCGGATGACACCAAACTGACAGGAGTAGCCAATATCCCAGAAGACAAACTCAGGATCCAAAAAGATCTTGACAAACTTGAACAACGGGCCCTATCCAACAAAACGAGTTTCAATGTGGAAAAAAGCAGTCTTACATTTAGGCAGGAAAAATCAAAGGTATAAGTACAGATTGGGCAAGACATGGCTCAAAAACAGTAACTGTGAGAGGGACTTTAGAGTTCTAGTGGACGATCACTTGATTATGAGGCAGCAGTGTGCGGCAACAGCCAAAAGAGCTGATACAATCCTGGGTTGCATAAATAGAGGCATGGAATCAAGATCATGCAAAGTATTACTAATGCTTTATAAAACCCTAGTAAGACCACACCTGGAATACTGCAGCCAATTTTGGTCACCATATCACAAAAAAGATGTTGAGAGTTTGGAAAAAAATCAGAGACGAGCAACTAAGATGATCAAAGGCCTGGAGACTAAAACATATGAAAAACGGCTGTGGGACTTGGGTTTGGCTGGTCTAAAGAAAAAATGAAATAGGGGAGACGTGATAGTAGTGTTCCAGTATCTGAGGGGCTGCCACAAGGAAGAGGGGGCCAAGTTGTTCACCAAAGCACCAGAGGGAAGGACGAGAAACAATGGTTGGAAACTAATCAAGGAGAGAAGCAACCTGGAATTCAGGAGAAACTTCCTGACAGTGAGGACAATTAACCAGTGGAACAGCTTACCCCCAGAAATCATGGGTGCTCTATCACTGGAGATTTTAAAGAAGAGACTAGACATTTCCCTGTCTGAGACGGTATAGGTTCTCCTGCTTGAGCAGGGGGCTGGACTAGAAGACCTCCAAGGTCCCTTCCAGCTCTATTACTATTCTATTTATTCTCTACTCTACTCTACTCTATTCTAAATTCCAGGAACAGCCAATGGCGCTTGAAGAACGGGCATGAATCATAGCCCCCAAAACAGGCAATGGAAGATAAATACCCCACCATAATTTTTTCTAGGAAGTGTCCATTTAGGAGGAATTCCACCCCATATGCACTACCATTTTGACTCCAGCTTATAACCAGTAAACCCCAGTAACCAATGTAATCACTAATAAACCCACAATGTTCTCACATTGGGATGTTTATAAGCCTTCAAAGCAGTGGTTCTCAACCTGTGGGTCGGGACCCCATTTGGGGTCGAACGACCATTTCATGGGAGTCGCCAAACAACGCAATCCGCCATTTTTTCCCCCTTTTCCTTAGCTGTGCTACTCCCTTTTATTCTCTTGGCTTTTGAAAGCCAATAGAATAGACTCTCTTGAATAGAGTCTAATTCTATTGGCTTTCAAAAGCCAATAGGAATTGTCCAGGCTGTCTCTGCCCTGCTGAGCCCGCCAAAAGTCCCATTCTGCAATGTGCTGCACCAGTTGAGTAGTCCTCAACTTACGATCGGTTGGGGGTTGCGGCATTAAAAAGGTTGAGAACCACTGCTTCAAAGGAAGAGAATTCTCTCCAAATGCTACTAAGTAGAGAATCAAGATGCAGAGGTATAAATTCCAGCCTCCCATCAGGGTGGATGTAGGTTTGGGACAAGACAGGAGGTGGAACTGCTGCCTTTCGCATTCCTGGAGAACATTCTAGTCTAGGGGGTTCTTATCTGAAATAAAGACACATCTTCTTGATCCACCAGGGTTGGGAGGAATGCTATGGGTGTCCTCTCCCAAGGAGGTCCATCTGATGGGACCAAGAAGAACGGCCTTCTCCGTGGTGGCTCCCTCTCTGTTATTTGAAGAACCCTCACTTCCTAGTCATCTCTACCCAACCCACCAGAGTGGGGAGGGAGCGAATGTTATAGGTGCCTTAAGGAGGTCCATCTAGTGGGACCAAGAAGAAGGGCCTTCTCTGTGGTGGTGTAAGGACCCACCCCACTTTGCATCTTAAGAAGACAGAACTCTTGGAATAATTCTTCCAACAGGCATCCTTTATTAAGAGAAAATGGTTGCAGGCGTTCTAGACAGGACTTGGGGTCCAGGTTCTCCCATTCAAGGTTTTAAGGGGTTCCCCAGTAGCCCCACCCAATCACCCCCTTCTTCCAGCGACAGTCTCAGGCATTACACTCCCACCCCTTTTTCCTTACTGCCGGCTGGATGGAGACTTCAGAGAAAACTACATGAAAGGTAATAGCCCCATTGTTATGGTTAGTCCTTTTGATGATACACACATCCAGTTCCTTTGAAGTGTACCGAAGGAAATGAGGGCCATAAAGCCCCTTTGTTCACCCCCTTCCCTTCATCGTATGACAGAATCCATAGAAGGCAGAAATGGGGTTTTCTATAATTGATAACTAGAGATGAAATATAATTGGATTCTGACAGGTGGCTCCTATCCTGCGGAACATAATCCCTGTGGAGATAAGATTGGTCTCCCAACTTGACATTCTTTTAAATGGCCCCCAAGACTTGGTTTTGCCCATGGGTCTGAGGAATCCAGCGTGACATGGAGCCCATCAAGTGGTTTGTTTGATTGTAGTCACCAGAGAGGGGGAGAATTTATTGTTTTTTTTTATTTTTTGGGGTTGTGTTTCTACAGGCGACCTAGACTCATAGTTGGGCAGTCATATACATTTTCTAAATACACCAGAAAACAAGGAAAAAGACCCGTTATCCTGTTGCCAGTGTTGTCTTGGCTGTCTTAAGTAAGAAAGCAAACTGAACATTAAGGAGGCTGTTCTTAACTGAACAAGAGCAAGGGTTTTACTTTTCATTATCTCAATGAAAAAAAAAAACCTGTCCTGGCTTACTTCATGCATACTAGACCATAAACAGGAGGAGGAAGAGAAAGCCACACGGATGGCATAGTTCCATGGGGGAGAGAAATAGGACAAAGTAGAAGGCACTGAGCAGATAATTAAGTAATGTAAAAATATATGCTTTTTTTTTTTAAAAAAAAGCAAAGCTCTTTGTCCTTAGTTGGGGTCAGGTATGCTTGAATGTGCATGCGTTACACACTGCTGAAATTTCAGAACCCAGAAAGATGAGAAAGTCAATGTTGAGTTGGGTGTTTCAGTTTCCTGAATGGTTCATTGCGATGTTTTAAATTTTTGCTTTCTTGAAGAATAAGCAAAAGTTTAAAAAACACACCAAATCCGGACCAGGAAAACACAACCAATCTTAATATTTGCAGAAAAGCGATGGGAAAAAAAATTAAATTATTCAACATTTCTGAGCTCTTAGCTGTGCAAGATTTGTCCTGAAATGGTTAATATTTTTTTAGCCACATTTCTCACTAAAAGCAGGAAGTCCTCCTCACAAGTAATCTTTTAGAAAGGCAACTTTTTAAAACCCCTAAAAAACTCTAAACTGAGCACTTACTGTATCTGAGCTTCCTTCCAGCAAGAGGTTGATTGCTCTGTTCACGTCACCATTACAATCGTGCAGAGCTACGATGCAGTCATCCTGATTCTTCCCTGTCACTTCCATCAACTAAAAAATAAAAATAAAAACCCAAACACATATTACAAACACAGATTAAAAAGCAGCTCGGAATAACCCAAAGGTGAGTTTATATAGGAAACAGAAATAAAATACGTCAATGAATGTGCCTCTGTATGTGGAGATCTAATTGATATAAAATTATAACTGCTCAGATAGGTTACAGTCTACGGTAAATTACAGATTAGCTCAGAATCACTGCTACTAGCTTTCGAATTTATTTATATATTTAATTCAGTTTGGCTACTGCCTGCTTCTAACCAATACTTCAATCCCTAAATAATGTTAAAAAATTACAAATCAAAACCAAGATGAGATGTTGGCACAATCTGGGATAGAAAACCAAAATAATAAACACATCCAAGGGGCTCCATCTATCTCACTCCAAGTTCTGAGAGACCAGTCTAGACCGGGGTAGGCAACCTTGGCTCTTTTATGACTCGTGGACTTCAACTCCCAGAATTCCTGAGCCAGCCTGGCTCAGCTTGGAAACCTCTCCTTTCCCCTCAGCGTGGCTGGCTCAGAAATTCTGGGAGTTGAAGTCCACAAGTCAGAAAAGAGCCAAGGTTGCCTACCCCTGGTATAAGGTCTCTTGTTCTAAGCGGTGAGCCTCCTAGGCCAGGGGTAGGCAACCTTGGCTCTTTTATGACTCGTGGACTTCAACTCCCAGAATTCCTGAGCCAGTATGGCTCAGCTTGGAAACCTCTCCCTTTCCCCTCAGTGTGGCTGGCTCAGGAATTCTGGGAGTTGAAGTCCACGAGTCATAAAAGAGCCAAGGTTGCCTATCCCTGGTCTAGTCCCCAAATGCTACTTTAATTTCTTGAAGAACAATGTAGCCAAAGGCCTGGGCTGAACTTCGAATGTAAAAGACTGTAGGGTTTCTGGTGCTCTCCGAATCTGGTAGTTTTCTTGCAGATGTTTTGTTACCAAACTAGACAACATCGTCAGTGCTAGGTGGGAGTGGGGAGTGGGGAGGAGGAGGAGGAGATATGGAGAAGGAAAAAGAAAAGGAGGAAGAGGAGAAGGAGAAGGAGAAAGACCGTGGGGTCCTTGGTACTCTCTGAAATAGGTAGTTTTCTTGCAGATGTTTCATGACCAAAGTAGGTAATATCAATCATCATGATGTGACCTAGTTTGGTCATGAAACATCTACAAGAAAACAGCCAAGCTCAGAGAGCATCAAGGATCCCACAGTTTAACCCCGATCTACAAATTATCTTCCATTGGTACGTAAAGGACTTTCTAATCCGTACAATTCCAGGTCAAACAGTACCCTAACTACGAGCCGTCCAGAGTTGGCTGAAAGACTATATAAATGTTATTTATTTATTTACATCAATTCAATCTGAGGATTCAATTGATACAGTTTGCTCATTCTAACCCCCCTCCTCTCCCCCCCAACACACATACACAAAAACTTCCTATCCAGGAGGGATTGATTTCACCTTCAAGCCATGTTTCAATTTCTCTGCTTGCTTCACAAGGCGTGAGGCTCGGAGCCAAGAGAGGTTTTAAGGAAGGGATTAATATTTCCTGCATGCGCAGAGCGCAGACAGGAGCTCATCGCTATTTTGTGCTTGCGCGAGTGAAATGGGGAAAAGAGATAAAAACATCTGCGCAGGTCAAAGCAAACCTCTGGCTCTCTGGGAGTCGATGCCAGGAAGACAAATCTCAAGTGAGAGAAAATCAAATCCCTCTCAACAGAAAAGATCCCCACAGAGCCTAATTTTAACAGGATGTGTCACTTAATATGGGTAGTCCTCGACTTACAACCATTCTTTTAGTGACCATCCAAAGTTACCACCGGAAAAAGTGGCGTATGACCACCTGTCAGACTTAACGACCATTGCAGCATTCCCCCGTGGTCAAAATTCGGATGCTTAGAAACTGGCTCGTACTTATGACGGTCGCCGTGTCCCCGGGTCATGTGATTCCCCTTTTGTGTCCTTCTGACAAGCAAAGTTGATGGGGGAGGCCAGATTCACTTAACGACCGTGTGACTAGCTTCAGTGATTCGCTTAACAACTGTGACAAGAAAGGTCATAAAGTGGGGCAAAACTCCCAATCACCATTTTGCTTAGCAAGGGAAACGTTGGGCTCAATTCTGGCCGCTAAGTTGAGAACCCCGTATCTTGCTCTGACTTTTCCACAAACTACCCCTACTGACTTTTTCTTGAAAAGATACAGCGAGTCCTTGGCTTCTGACAACAATGAGGGCCAGAATTTCTGTTGCTAAGCCGGGCCTCTACCCTCTTCTGGAGTCCATTTAAGCTCATGCCTACTGCTTCAGTGACTCCATCCAGCCCCCTCCTTCTCTGTCGTCCCCTTCTTGTCTTGCCCTCCATCTTTCCCAGCATTAGGCTCTTCTCCAGTGAGTCCTTCCTTCTCATTAGGTGGCCAAAGTACTTGAGTTTCAACTTCAGGATCTGGCCTTCTAAAGAGCAGTCAGGGTTGATCTCCTCCAGGACTGACCGGTTTGATCGCCTTGCAGTCCAGGGGACTCGCAGGAGTCTTCTCCAGCACCAGAGTTCAAAGGCCTCATTCTTTGGCGCTAGGCCTTTCTTATGGTCCAACTTTCACAGCCATACATTGCAACTGGGAAAACCATGGCCTGGACTATACGCACTTTTGTTGGCAGGGTGATGTCTCTGCTTTTTAGTATGTTGTCTAGATTTGCTATAGCTTTCCTCCCCAGGAGCAAGCATCTTTTAATTTCTTGGCTGCAGTCCCCATCTGAGGTGATCTTGGAGCCCAGGAAGAAATAAAATCTGTCACTACCTCCATTTCTTCCCCATCTATTTGCCAGGAATTGAGAGGGCCGGATGCCATGATTTTGGTTTTCTTAATGTTGAGTTTCAAGCCAACTTTTGCACTCTCCTTCTTCACCCGCATCAAGAGGCTCTTTAGTTCCTCTTCACTTTCTGCCATTAGAGTGGTATCATCTGGAGGAACGTTGTCCATGGGGTCGCGATGGGTCGGACACGACTTCGCAACTAACAACAAGCCGGGCCGCTGTTAAGTGAGTCACACCCAATTTTTTATAACGGTTCTAGCCACATCACTGCAGTTGTTCGCTGAATCATGAGGTTATTAAGCAAATCTACCTTCTCCCGTCGACTCTTGGGAAGGTGGCCGATGGCGATTGGAGGAACCCAGGATGCTGCAACTGGGGTAAATGCATGCTGGTTGCCAAGTGCCTGAAGTCTGATCATGTGGGAATGCTGCAACTTTTTTCAGTGCTGTGCTGTGGTGTCCTCAAATTGCTGCTAAATGAACGGTTGTAAGTCAAGGACTGCTTTCACTAAACTTCACAGCAACATATCAGAAGGGAGAAGAAGCTACTTTTAAATTTTAGGAAGCAAGAGGACTTGGATATGGCTTTAGAATATACAGGTAATCCTCAACGCACGACCGTGAACGAGCCCAAAATTTCCATCGCTAAGCGAGACAGTTGTTAAGTGAGTTTTGCCCCATTTTACAATCTTTCTTTTCACAGTTGTTACGTGAATCACTGCAGCTGTTAAGTTAGTAACATGGCTGTTAAATGAATCCGGTTCCCCTGTTGAGTTTGTCAGAAAGTCGCAAAAAGGGATCACGTGACCCCGGGACACGGCAACCGTCATAAATATGAGTCAGTTGCTGAGTATCTGAATTTTGATCACATAACTACGGGGATGCTACAGCAGTTGTTAAGTGCAAAAAACGGCCATTAGTCATTTTTTCCAATACTGTTGTAACTTCAAACAATCTCTAAACCAGTGGTTCTCAACCTTTGGGTCGGGACCCCATTTGGGGTCGAACGACCATTTCACGGGGGTTACCAAACAAGGCTGTTCACCATTTCCCCCCCCCCTTTTCTTTGGCCATGCCCCTGGCACCCGATGATGTATATAAGTGGTTGGGGGTCACCACAATATGGGGAACTGTATTATGGGGTCGCAGCATTAGAAAGGTTGAGAACCACTGCTCTAAACAAACCGTGTTGTAAGTCGAGGACTACCTGTGCAAGACTGGAGCCCACTCAACTACGTGCCATGGCAATCTCCTCCCTCCCTCCCTCCCTCCCTCTCTCTCCCTCTCTCTCTTTCCTCTCTCTCTCTCTTTTCTCTCTTTCCTTTCTTTCCCTTTTTCTCTCTCTTACCTCTCCTTCTCTCTTTCCTCTCACTCTCCCTCCCTCCCCCCCTCTCTCTCCCTCCCTCCCCCTCCCACCCCCCCTCCCCCCTCCCTCCCTCCCGCAAAGCTGGGGTGGAAACTTACTTGTTTCACTTTATCCTCAAAGTCTCTGTCGTTCTTATCATATATCATTTGGGCCAGGCGAATCTGCTCTGCTGTGGCCTGAAAAATGCAAAAGCATCCATGAAATATAAAACACAAATTTGCATTCAAAATTAGTATACTGTACAGAGTTCTCGAATTACGACCATAAGGGAGCCCAAAGTTTATGTTGCTAAGTGAAGAGCTTGCTGACTTTTGCCCCATTTTATGAAGCAAAACTTGTTAAAGTTTTTTGTAACGCTTGTTAAGTGAATCATTGCAGTTGTTGAGTTAGTAGCTTGGTTGTTAAGTGAATCTGGCTTCCTCACTGCTTGTCAGGTCACAAAATGGGATCACATGACCCCAGGCCATTGAAACTGTCATATAGATGAGTCAGTTGCTAAGCATCTGATTTTTGATCACATATCCGTGGGGATGCTGCAGTGGTTGTTAATTGTGAAAAATTTTCATAAGTCACTTTTTTCAGTGCCATTATAACTTTGGACGGTCACTAAATGAACTGTTGTAAGTTGAGGACGACCCATAGCTGTTTTTTCCATACAAGCATGTGAGGACTACCTATATTCCCCCCACTGCTCACTTTCCTGCAACTTACTCTTCTATTTTTAATTCTGGGGGGGAGGGCATAAGACTTTTTCTGTGTTTTTTCCCTGTCCAGCAACCCCACTCCAGTTTATAAGCAAGTGTTTAAAAAATAAACCACCCCTAACAACAGTCCAACAGAAAACAGTTCTCGGCACAGTAAAAGGAGCTGATAACATTTTATCAAATGAAATATATTTCAAAGTTACCTGATTAGGAGCCACAATCAGCACTCCCAACCACAGTTAAAAGGCCTTAAGAGCTTTTGTGCTTGTAAGAGGGTGGGGGAGAGGAGGGTTGTCTGAATCTGTGATTCTTATAATGGCTTTAAGCACATCACATTAAGGATGGTCCATTGAATAACACTTGGCTGAACAACAACAGTAACCTGACCTGGGCTTAACACTAAAGCAGTGTTTCTCAACCTTGACAATTTTAAGGCATGTGGACTTCAACTCCCAGAATTCCACAGCCAGCAATGCTGGCTGTGGAATTCTGGGAGTTGAAGTCCACATGCCTTAAAATTGTCAAGGTTGAGAAACACTGCACTAAATCGTCCCTCCTTTAGGCAGAGGCAATTATAATTATATTAGAAAGCAAAATAAGAAGTTATTGGAGGTGTAGAATCTCAGATTAGCATGGCTGGCCCTTAGATAACCTCCTGGGTCGGCTTTTAGGCTTCATGGTCCAACTGGTTAAAAAAAAAAAAACCATTTAAATCATCATAAAAAGAATGGGAAGCTGCTATGCTGTAAAACAATCCAATCTTCAGGATCATTATCCAAATGCCTCTGGATCCTGTGAGCTTTTATTTAGAAAATAAACAATGGTGGATGGCTGTAAGTTATTGCTTTTTTGGGACAGTATAGAAAAAATATGTTCTTCATCATCTTTTCCCTCGCTCTTAAGTTTGTCTCCTGGCAAACAAATACATGCTATTTATCATGTTAATACATGAATGTTTTATCTTGTTACTTACAGGTAGTCCTCGACTTACACCTGCAATTGCGCCCAGGATTTTTGTTGCTAAGCAAGACAGTTGTTAAGTGAGCTTTGCTCCACTTTATGGCCTTTCTTGCCCCAGTTGTTAAGTGAATCAATGCAACTGTTAAAGTAAGCGAATCTGGCTTCCTCATTGATTTTGCTTGTCAAAAGATCACAAAAGGGGATCACGTGACCCTGGGACACTGCAACTGTCATAAATACATGCCAGTTGCCAAGCATCTGAATTTTGATCATGTGACCATGGGGATGCCAGAATGATCCGTAAGTGTGAAAAATGGTCGTAGTTAATTTTTTTCTGTGCCATTGTAACTTGTAAGTCGAGGAGTACCTATACCAGTGGTTCTCAACCTGTGGGTCGGGACCCCATTTGGGGTCGAACGACCATTTCACGGGGGTCGCCAAACAACGCAGTCCGCCATTTTTTCCCCCTTTTCTTTGGCCACGCCCCTGGCACCTGGTGATGTATAAGTGGTTGGGGGTCACCACAACATGGGGAACTGTATTATGGGGTCGCGGCATTAGAAAGGTTGAGAACCACTGACCTATACCATACTTAGTTGTAAGCTCCCTCGAGTCATGTCTAGGGAGATTGGTGGCATGAAAATTTAATAAATAAATGGGTTTTCCCAACGGGCTATGCCTCCCAGTGGAGCTACTTTAGCCAATGAATACAGGCCCCAGTTGATGACTTGCACTTACCATCTAAACAGAACTACAAATGTATTCAAAACTATGGCCTGAACTCTAGCCTGGATGTAAACTAGTTTGATTAGACCAGGAAACACCTGGCATCCATTAAGAGTCCACACAGTTAGTTTCTGGCCAAAGTTAAACCATACCACTCAATATATTTGCAATTTTTTTTTTTCATTTCAATGCCCCAAGCTCTAATTTATGAAATTTAGCAAAAGGAAATTATAGCAAGACTACACGTTATGCCAGTTGGGGATAATAGCTGAGAATTCTCTGGCGTGGACAAGAAGCTTGCAAACATAACGGTAGTAAACAAAACTGAATTTTCTTTGTCCTGGTTTGTTACTTTTTGACTAGCCCCAAACGCCAGGAAAAAAAAGCACAAACTGAGGAAGAGCATTTAGGAAAAAACAACAAGCCATTTCTAAGCTTGAAATTTGAAGGACAATCCATTCCGTGGCATCTGAAGACGGATTTCGGTTACTGCTCTAATTGGAGGCCTCATTTTTGCTGTGCTAAGCAGCTCTTGAGGTCATCCAGTTGCCAGAAAAACTAAAATAGCAAGAGAAGGACAGGATGCTGGGTTCCACGATGTTTCATGATAGCTTTTCCTCACTGCCACAAGTTGAGAGAGTACAGATAGTCCTCGACTTACGACCACAACAGAGCCCGATTTTTGTTAAGTGAAATTCACTTAAGTGAATTTTGCCCCATTTTACAACCTTTCCTGCCACAATTGTTAAGGGAATCAATGCAGCGGTTAACTTAGTGACACGGTTGTTAAGTGAATCTGGCTTTTCCCGTTCACTTTGCTTGTCAGAAAGGTTGCAAAAAGGGATCACATGACCCGAGGACACTGCAACCGTCTGAATTTTGATCACAGGATCATGGGGATCTTGCAACAGTCGTAAGCATGAAAAATGGTCATAACTCACGTTTTTCAGTACAGCTGTAACTTTGAACGGTCGCTAAATGAACTGTTGTAAGTCGAGCACCATCTGTATTTTACCAATGCTCACAAGTTCCTGTCCACAGCATCTTCCTGCATAGAGTGTAGAATTCACTCTCTGGGCCCTATTTAAGTGTTATCAGGATGAAATCTCCCCCACACAGTGCATCACAAATATTTCTCGTGTGTGTGTGTGTGTGTGTGTGTGTGTGTGTGTGTGTGTGTGTGTGCGCGCGCGCGCTCCTCTGGAGTAACTTGGCTTTTTCTGCTTACCCAGCTGGTCTTTGGGATGCAAACACATCATGGTAGCCAACTGGTCAGGCAGTAAATCAGGCCCACTTTGGCTAGGAGGCTGATTAAAAGATTGTATAGTCCTCAACTTACCACAGTTCATTTAGGAACCGTTCAAAGTTACAACAGCACTGAGAAGAGTGACGTAGGACCTGTTTTCACACTTACGACCGTTGCAGCCTCCCCTTGGTCACATGATCAACATTCGGACGCTTGGCAACTACTTCACATTTGCAGTGTCCCAGGGTCATGAGATCCTCTTTTGCAACTTTCTGATTAGCGAAGTCAATGTGGAAGCCAGATTCATTTAAAAAAACCCATGTTAAGTAAAAGATGTTGAGACTCTAGAAAGAGTACAGAGAAGAGCAACAAAGGTGATTAGGGGGCTGGAGGCTAAAACATATAAGGAAAGGCTGCTGGAATTGGGTACGTCTAGTTTAATGAAGAGAAGGATGAGGAGGGACATGACAGCAGTGTTCCAGTATCTCAGGGACTGCCCCAAAGAAGAGGGAGTCAAGCTATTCTCCAGAGCACCTGAAGGCAGGATAAGAAGCATAGGATGGAAACTAATCAAGGAGAGAAGCAACCTGGAACTAAGGAGAAACTTCCTGACAGTTAGAACAATTAACCAGTGGAACAACCTGCCTCCAGAAGGCGTGAATGCTCCAAAAGTGGAAGTTTTCAAGAAGAGACTGGACAGACATTTGTATGAAATGGTATAAGATTTCCTGCCTGAGCAGGGGGTTGGACTAGATGACCTCCAATGTCTCTTCCAACTTTACTACTACTACTACTACTACTAACTTAACATCTCCAATGATTCACTTCACAACACTGGCAAGGAAGGATGTAAAATGGGGCAAAACTCACCTAACAAGTGTTTCCCTTCACAACATAAATTTTGGGCTCAATTGTTGGTCGTAAGTCAAGGACTACCTGAACCTAGCGAAGCTCAATAAAGCAGAGGTAACAGCACTGTGTGATTCCTTGTTATAGCTACAGGAAAAATACCTTCTCATTCAGTCCTTGACCTTTCTACACAGCTCTAATGCTGTGCTGATTGCTCTTGGAAGTGGCTTTCCCCGCTGTGTCATATCCCCACAGAAGTACTCGAGCCGAGATTGGAGTCGTCATTCACGCTCGAGCACAGATTTGAAGCGGGTGATGATCTGTTCACGAGGGCTCCACCCTGCTCTGGTTCTCAAAGACTTTAGGAGCCATCGAAGTCTCTTTCCAGAACTGGAAAGTCAGAACTTTCTAGTCTGAATGACCTTTCTATAATAATAATAATAAAGTTGGAAGGGACCTTGGAGGTCATCTAGTCCAACCCCCTGGCTCAGGGAAGAAACCCCATACCATTTCGGACAAATGGCTGTCCAGTCTCTTCTTAAAAACTTCCAGTGTTGGCGCATTCACCGCTTCTGGAGGCAGGTTGTTCCACTGGTTAATTGTTCTAACTGTCAGGAAGTTTCTCCTTAGTTCCAGGTTGCTTCTCTCCTTGATAAGTTTCCATCCATTGCTTCTTGTCCTGCCTTCTAGCCACAGTTGTTAAGTGAATCTGTTGTTAAGTTGTTAAGTTAGTTACACAGTTGTTAAGTGAGTCTGGCTTCCCCATTGACTTTGCTTGTCAGAAGGTTGCAAAAAGGGATCACGTGACCCTGGGACATTGCAGCCATCATAAATATGAGTTTCCAAGCGTGTGAACTTTGATCATGTGACCGTGGGGATGCTGCAACAGTTGAAAGTGTGAAAAATGGTCATAACGACAATTTTTTCCAGTGCTGTTTTAACTTCGAACAGTCACTAAATGAACTGTAACTGTTGTAAGTCTAGGACTTACCTGTATAGGCACGCTGAAAAACACAACAAAAAATAAGTCTTCAAACTTTGGTGCTGGTTTTGGGGCACCCGCACCTCAAATCTACAGAAAATGTAATTATACTCTTCACAAGCATGACATCCTTGCTTGTCCATTAACTTTTTTAGGCTAAGGACATGGAGTCAACGTTGCCAAATTCCTACCTGGACTACTGGTTTCTGGGGTTGTGTCAGTTGCGTGGCTGGAATCTGTGTTTTTTCTCGAGTGCCCCGAGTACGTTCACTGCCCACCGAAGTCATCATATACAGTATATACAAATCAATGTATGTACAAAATAGAAAATCTGAAACGAGAAAGAAACAAACACTCAGGCACGACTTTCGAGACAAAAATGCAGATGATTAGTCCAGGATGAAGAGAAATAGGGATTGAGCTGTGTTTACATGTTAAATAAAACCATGAGCAGCCCACCCACCCTTTTTTTTTTCTCTAAATGAAGGGACGGAACTAGAAATTCACCAGTTCCCAGTCAGCTTCTGGGTACAACTCAAAAGAGCCACCTACCACCCCATAAAGCACTTCGTAGAAAGATACAGGCTGTCCTCGACTGACAATCACAATTGAGCTCAAAATTTCCATTGCTAAGCCAGACCGTTGTTAAGTCAGTTAAGCCCCATTTTACGACCTTGCTTGCCACAGCTGTTAAGTGAATCACTGCAGCTGTCAAGTTAGTAACATGGGTTGTTAGGTGAAGCTGGCTCGCCCACTGATTTTGCTCGTCAGAAGGTCGCAGAAGGCGGAAATCACATGACCCCGGGACACTGCGACCGTCATAAATACGAGTCAGTTGCCAAGCGTCTGGATTTTGATCATGTGACCTTAAGGGATGCTGCAATGGTCCTAAGTGTGAAAAATGGTTATAAGTCACTTTTTTTCAAGTGCTGTTGTAACTTCAATCACTAAACGAATAGTTGTAATTTGAGGACTACCGTATTTCTCGTACCATCAATCTCTGACTATTTCTACCCATCCTTTAAGGTCCGGGAATGTTCCAAGTCTCTCTTATTAAACAATGTCACCAGATAGGACCGAGGAGATGTGCCTCATTTGTCACAAAGCCTGCTCTGTGAAGCAGCCTGTCCCCACCTGAACTGTGAAGGCCCCAACCCTGTTGGTGTTTTGTAACATTTTGAAAATGTGCCATTTGCCTTGTGTCCTGGGCCAGGGTCTTATGTAAGCCCATCTTTAGGGTTATTGGATTGAAGATTGGCCTTGATAAGCTGTGTTTTATTTTTGTTGGGGGGGGGGAATACTTCTTGATTGTTGTTTTAAGGCAATGTTGGTTGCTTAAAATCACATTGTGTGAGAGGGAGGGAGGGAGGGAAGGAAAGGGAAGGGAAGGGAAGGGAAGGGAAGGGAAGGAAGGAAGGAAGGAAGGAAGGAAGGAAGGAAGGAAGGAAGGCGCTTGAATGATTAAAATGACTTCCAAAATAATATTTAAAGTTTCTGGAGAGTGTGGAATGTGGGAGGGAGAATTTTGTACAGGATGTGGTTTTCTAAGAGGCAGGGAAGGCTGGTATTGAGAAGCCACCAAATTCTGCATAACTAATGGTTTGTCTTCCTGCACAATTAAAATAATTACATCAAAAAATCAAAAGACAATGAAAATAATGGCATAAAAGATAAAAAGCGGTGGATTCTTTAGACAGCTGGGTTTTTTTTTAACATCACCTGTGTGTGCTTAATTTACATCTCAAAGAATGTCAAAAGAATCCACAGAGCTTACTCAGCAGAAAGGAAAGAGATGGCAGAGCTGTCATTTCTGAATATTGGTAAATATGAAATATGAAAATGCTGGCTATCACCTATAAACCAACACACATCACACACACACACCCCTATATAGTGTAGCACATATCAGAGACTGTCTTCCCAAGCATGAGTCTTCTCATCTGATCCAAACAAGAGAAGCCTTGCTAAAGAGGCACCCCCTCCTGTGTGAAGTATAGATGCTCCTCACTTAATGGCCGTTTATTCAATGACACCTTAAGAGATGACAGCAAAAATCTGTCACATCTGAAGATATGACAAGCAAAAACAACAGGGAAGCTAGATTCACCCTAACAACTGGTGTGATTCACTGAACAACCGTGGCAAGAAAGCCCGTAAAATGGGGCAAAGCTCACTTAACAACTGTCTTGCTTAGCAACGGGAATTTTGGGCCAAATTGTATTTGTAAGTCAAAGATTACCTATAAAATCAAAACTCCATTGGTTGTCACATTGGAAGAAGAATCACCCTCTCTGAGCCTATTTATCAAAGTGCTAAACAATGCTATCTACTCAGGTTTGCTAAATTGCTGAATAATTTTATTAATACTGTAAAGGCTTCTTAGAATAGAATAGAGCTGGAAGGGACCTTGGAGGTCTTCCAGTCCAGCCCCCCTGCTCAAGCAGGAGAACCTATACCATCTCAGACAAGTGACTGTCCAGCCTCTTAAAAATCTCCAGTGATGGAGCGCCCACGATTTCTGGAGGTAAGCTGTTCCACTGGTTAATTGTCCTCACTGTCAGGAATTTTCTCCTTAATTCCAGGTTGATTCTCTTTGATCAGTTTCCAACCATTGTTTCTCGTCCTTCCCTCTGGTGCTTTGGTAAATAACGTGACCCCCTCTTCTTCGCTGGTCTATTAGTTTAGTCACTTTGTCAAAGAATGAAATAAGATTGGTTTGGCACGATCTGTTTTTAACAAATCCGTGCTGGCTACTGATTATAACTTTGTTTCTAGTTGTTCACAGATCTGTTTTTTGATTATCTTTTCTAGGATCTTTATTTATTTATTTATTTATGAGACTTATATACCGCTTTAAGTGCAAGCACTCTCTAAGCGGTGTACACCAGTAAGCAATGTATATATATATTTACATTGCCCCCAACAATCTGGGTCCTCATTTTACCTACCCCGGAAGGATGGAAGGCTGAGTCAACCTTGAGCAGGTGAGATTTGAACCGCTGACCTGCTGAACACAGTCAGCTAAAGTGGCCTGCAGTACTGCACTCTAACTGCTGCGCCACCTCGGCTCATCCTTGACGTTTTTCTTGTTGTTAATATGTTGGAAGAAACTTTTTTTATTATCTATGATTTCTGTTGCAAGTCTTGTTCGTTCTGAGTCTTTGCTTTCCTGACTTGATCTTTGCATGTTCTCGCTGTCTGCTGATAATCGGCCTTAGTTATGTGTCCCTCTTTCCATTTTTTGTATTTGTCCTTTTTTGTCTTTCAGTTTGTCAGAGAGACCTTTGTGCAGCCATGCTGGTTTCTTCTTGAATTTCTTGTTTTTCTTTTTCACTAGTATTGTACTAGTTTAGGCTTTTATGATCGCATTTTTCAGAGTTTCCCACACTTCTTGGGTTGTTTTCCTCTTTAGGATTTTCATCCATGAGATCTTTCCTAGGTTTTCTCTGAATTTTTAAAGTCAGCTCTTTTGAAGTTCAAGACACTGGTTGGATTGTTTTCTGTTGCTAGTGTTTGCATTATATTAAATTCCAGTATGACGTGTTCACTTTCGCCCAAGGTTCTGGCAACTTCAACTCCCTCTATCACTTCTTCTCTATGAGTCAGAATTAAGTCCAGGATGGCTTTACGCTTAGTTCCCTCCTCCACCTTTTGGGTGACAAAGTTGTTGGCTAGGTTGGTTAGGAATCTGTTTGATCTCTCTCTGGTTGCAGAGCTTGTCTCCCAGTTGATATCTGGATAGTTGAAGTCTCCCATTACTACTGTGGTATGCTTCCTACATACATTTTTTAACTGATAAGCAAAGTCAAGGGGGAAGCCAGATTCACTTAACAACCATGTTACAACTTAGGTGATCCACTTAACAACTGGGGCAAGAAAGATAAAAAAATGGGGCAAAATTCACCTGGCAAATTTATCACTTAGCAACATAAATTTTGGGCTCACTTGTGGTCGTAAATTGAGGACTTCCTCTACTTGGTCATATTTGCTTCACCACAAATACTTTTTTTTTTCAATTTAATTTGGCTTAGTAGAGTATGAGCAGAACTATTAATTAATTTGGGGGGGCATGAGTTTACTTAGGTACTTGATCAAAAGAACATTTGATACCTTAAAGCAGTGGTGGCGAACCTATGGCACGGGTGCCAGAGGTGGCACTCAGAGCCCTCTCTGTGGGCATGCATGCCGTCGTCCCAGTCCTAGGCCTTCAGCTGGGTTTTATAAAATCTTTTCGCTTTAGGCCTCCGCCGCCATGTGCAAAAAAAAAAAAAAAAGTTCAATCAATCAGTCAATTCCAACTTCTTCCGGGGGAAAAAAAGATCTTGCAAAGTTGGAATTGATTGATTGAATTTTTTAGTCCCACCCAGTGTGCTGTTACCACCGTAGCCACGCCCACCCAATGGGCCACACCGACCCAATGGGCCACACCCACCCAATGGGCCACACCCACCCAGCACCCGACGATGCATAAGTGGGTTTTGGGTTGCAGTTTGGGCACTTGGTCTCTAAAAAGTTCGCCATCACTGCCTTAAAGTTTCCCCAAAACGTTTTACAAATGTGTTTAACAGCAGACATATTAGGGAAGGATAGCATTAGCAACCTGAGACACAAATCGCTCTTCAACATATGGCTCAAAGATAGTACAGGAAGTCCCCGACTTATGACCACAACTGAGCCCCAAATTTCATTTGTTAAGTGAGTTTTGCCCCATTTTATGATCCTGCTTGCCACAGTTGTTAAGGGAATCCCTGCAGTTATTGAGTTAGTAACCTGGTTGTTAAGTGAATCTGGCTTCCCCCATTGACTTTGCTTGCCAGAAGGTCGCAAAAGGGGATCACGTGACCCTGGGACGTTGCGACCGTCATAAGTATGAGTCGGTTGCCAAGGATCTGAACTCTGATCACATGAGCATGGGGATGCTGCAATGGTTGTAAATGTGAAAAAGGTCAGTATTTTTCAGCGCCGGTGTTAACTTCGAACGGTCACTAAATGAACTGTTGTGAGTTAAGGACTACTGTACAGTGAAAAATTGGATGCATCTGTAAAATTCATTATCAGTGATTTAGTAAACCCTGTCGACTTCTTTGGTGAAATCAATGAAAAGGGCTAATGAGCTTAAGTCAATTCCCACTGGACTAACCACAATCTTTGACCTAATTCTATCAATATTATCATTCAGAAAAATGAAATGTACTGTCGGGAACACGTCAAACATTCTCCTGCTGACCATTATAGGAGACGTTTGATGGCAATGAGTAAGCCATCTTTCCAGAAATTCTATCTACGACTTCCTTTTCTTAGTCAATTACTGGTATGAGCCTGAAATAAATG